TAGCTCTACAAAGTAATCTGGAAATGTGGCAGCCAGAAATGTGCACAGTATTCAAAAGGTAACTCCACAGATTTGAATGAAGCAATTGCCTGGAGTATTCTTGGTGACATATGCGTGTATAACTTTAGGTTATGTGTATTGTTTTGGGATGGTGCTATGCCCACCCCTTGCTGGTGCTGCCATGACCATCTACCAATGGGGGATAGAGACCAGGTAAACCCATTTGGGCTTGCAGCCAAGAAAGAGAATAAGTTCATTTATTTTATACTAGCCATCCCCTGCCACGCGTTGCTGTGGCCCAGTCTGGTGATCTGGAAAATAAAGTAATGAGAAAGTGTTGGTTTCTAATATATATAAAATTTCTTCCTGCTTGTGGGTAAACAGTATTTGATTATGTTTTCTTGCCCTGGTGAAGGGAGTTGGACTGGATGGCCTTAAGTATTTTCTATTGGTCCTAGGGGTTCTGTGTGGGAAGTCTGCCCTAATTCTATCATTCATGGGCTTCAGAATGCTCTTTGATTGTAGGTGAACTTTAAATCCCAGTAACTACAACTCCCAAATGTCAAGGTCTATTTCCCCCAAGCTCTATCTGTGTTCCTAGTTGGGCATATAGAATATTTGTGCCAAGTTTGGTCCAGATCCAACATTGTTTGAGTCCACAGTGCTCTCTGGATGTAGGTGAACTACAACTCCCAAACTCAAGGTCAATGTCCACCAAACCCTTCTAGTGTTTTCTGTTGGTCATGGGAGTCCTATGTGCCAAGTTTGGTTCAATTCCATCAATTGGTGGAGTTCAGAATGCTCTTTGATTGTAGGTGAACTATAAATCCCAGCAACTACAACTCCCAAATGACAAAATCAATTTTTTTGAGTGAAGGACATATATTGGGTTGTTAGGTGTATGCTGTCCAAATTTGGTGTCAATTCACCCACTGGTTTTTGAGTTCCGTTAATCCCACAAAGAAACATTACATTTTTATTTATATAGATTCTGGCTTTTACTGGAGTGGAACCCAAGGCAGCTTCCAATCACTATTCTTTTGGATCTCCAGCACATCACTGGAGAGTGGTGTGAATTATTTTTTCATGGATCGTAGTAGTAGTAGTAGTAGTAATAATAATAATAATAATAATAATAATAATAATAATAATAAATAGAATTAAAGCTTTATTTATAATCACCCTTTCTCCCTGGGTGGACTTGGAGCACTTTTCACCAAAAGATGGCAAACATTGAAGGCTATAATAAACAATATTTATTATTATTATTTATTTATTTATTTGCTTTACTTCTATACTGCATTTTTCAGCCTAGATTAGGCGACTCAATGCGGTTTACACAGTGCAAGTTATACAGTAATATACAGTTAAAAACACATCACACATTACAACAAAATCAACAATTATTATCAGTTCCGTTAATCCCACAAACAAACATTACATTTTTATTTATATAGATTCTGGCTTTTACTGGAGTGGAACCCAAGGCAGCTTCCAATCACTATTCTTTTGGATCTCCAGCACATCACTGGAGAGTGGTGTGAATTATTTTTTCATGGATCGTAGTAGTAGTAGTAGTAGTAATAGAAACAAAACAAAACAAATCAAATTTATAGTAGGATGTGGTCTTTGAAAGCCATCACAAATCATGGTCCACTGATAGATGCTAGAATATCTCTTTAGAGGCAACCTATTCATTGTCATGACCATGTTCAGCAGAAGCCTGTTTAAGTGTTTTGGATATAATGTAAAATTTTGGCACTACATGAATTAACCTCCCAGGACCCTTGATTTCAAGGGTCAGAATCTATTGGTGCAAATGTTGCAAGTGGTTTGAGTTTCCTAATTTGAAAACGTGGGAGGGCAGAAGTAGCAGTGGTCGAGAATACAGCCCACCCCAAGCCATTTATTTCATGAATTCCTGATTTGAGGTAGGTGTGGAGTAATATCGGAACAGTGGATAGGAAAATTGCCTGTGCCCACTCCTGAAGCCAGGCAAGGCATAGATGGTTTGGAGCTGGTTGTGCCTTCCTCTTGACTTCATCATTTTATGACAAAGATTTTCTAGTTCTTGTAATTGCACTAGTAAAACAATAGGATCTTGACAGTGTATTTTTCTCACCATACATTGTGATTCTCTCTCATCTTGATCAGTTTAGACAGATTGGACAATTGTGTGCTTATTCTTGGTCTGCAAATTTAAACTAGAAAGTATTATTTGAAATGTAGTATGTACCGTAAGTTTATTTTAACCAAGAAAACACAAACTACAGTGACTAATAATCACAATGCATTATTAAATCCCCACACGTACAGGTCTAGGATTACTTCCCATTTTCTTTCATTATGGACAATCCTACTGTCCTGTTTTATATATTCTTCTGTATGTTGCTGAAAATGCACTTTTGGAGTATACTTACTTTGGGCTTGATACTGTAAGTAGAGCATTTATGTAAAAACAAATTCTTTTATAAGCCAGAAATCTATCCCATTGGATGTGTATCATTCTAATTTTATGGGCATTGTGTGGTGCCTATGGGTGCATTTACTGTCATACCTTGGCACAGTGTTTGTGCATGTAGAGGGAGAAAATAGGCCTCTTTATGCCCTATGGAAAACCTTCAAGGGGCCGAGTCTGTGGGAGAGCTGGATTAAAACTATTGTTTTAGTTGTTCACATGATTAAACAGCTAGTCTTAATTAAAAACACACAAATGTGTAAATGAAGCATTTTTATAGATAATGAAAATCTTGGATAGTTATTTCAGTGCTATCTGGAATTTGGCTTTAAATGCATTTAGAATTGATTCCATGATTTATTTACAGTCAGCTTTCCACATTCGCTGAGGTTAGGGGCACAGTTCCTCCTGAAAAAAATAAGGAAAATGTGGATCAAAACAAGGAATCTCTAGGTGTCATCTCTAGGAATAAAAATAGAAGAAACAAATCGTATGATTTGAGCTGAACAGGATTTAAAAACTAATACAGTGGTATTGCAAGAAAGTTCATTTTCCTTATAGAATTCCTTTATTTGAGATCAAAGTTTTCATAAAACTATATAATGTATCAGGTTCCCCCGTCCCCCATTCTGCCAGAAAAGGTTTGTTTTGCCTTTAGTTGTCCTTATTGAATGCTTCTGTGATTTCTTTGAAGTCTGGTCTTCCGTTTTGCTTATTTTTAAAATAGTTAGCATAGTTTTTGCTGACAGAATCAACAGGTTTATTATTATAGAAGGGCTTGTGTTAACAGGTTGAGCCAGAATGCCTTTAAGAATTCCTTCAAAATGCTTTGAAGCACTAAGACAGGATACAGGTGTTCTGTGTTTCTATTTATTCCTCCGCAAGTCTCTGTGGTGATGCTCCTTTCCTGCTTTATATGCAAAGAAAATTATGAGTCTTTCTGGCCAAAGAAAATAAAAGAAAAAACTAGAAAAGAGGATCTGTAAAGAAAGGGGGCAGAAAGTACATAAGCTGTATCCTGTCTGCATGCTTTTCAAGTTGTGGGCCCCAGATGGAAATGAGGTGGCCCTCGAGATGTTGGATTGAAATTCATTCCATACCAGCATTCCTCACCATTGATTACACTGGCTACAGTGACCTATGTGACCGGCAATGGACTGATTCTGGAGCATGATTTTAAACTGTGGAATTTTAATTTTTATATATATAAATTTTGAATTTTAAAAAAAATTGAATGTTTATAATTGTTTTTAACTGTTGTTTATTTATGATTTATTTGGGTTGTTGTAGGTTTTTTTGGGCTATATAGGCATGTTCTAAAGGCATTATCTCCTGACGTTTTGCCTGCATCTATGGCAAGCATCCTCAGAGGTACTGAGGATGCTTGCCATAGATGCAGGCGAAACGTCAGGAGATAATGCCTCTAGAACATGGCCGTATAGTCCGAAAAAACCTACAACAACCCAGTGATTCCGGCCATGAAAGCCTTCGACAATATGATTGTTTGGTTTGATGTTCGGCATCTAATGGCTGCCTATTGTAAAGCCATCCTGAGCGCCCCCCCCCCCCCCCCGGGGTGAGAAGGACGGAGTACAAATGCTGAAATAAATAAATATAGTTGGCTGTAAGTAGCAGTATATCAGCATGGAGCGGGCTGCATAAAACTCTTTTTACATCCTGAATGTCATAATGATTAACTTCTTTTTTGTAGAGTGGGATCCATGTATTATGATTTGCTAGCTGCTGGGGGCTAGGGTGCCACACTGGGCCCCCAAAAGACATTGGAGAACTGAACCCATTAAAAACATAATTTTAAAAAGATCCTGAGAAGCTCCAAAATGCAACCTTATAGGACAGAGAGAGAATTCTGCCGTGGTTTTGTCCAGCAAAGACGTTTTTCCTCAGTAGGAAATGACTCAAAAGTCATATGCAATGAAATTGCACTCTCTGGGAGACATCGAGGAATTTGGAGGCCTTGGAGCCACAGAAATTGACACTGGATTGCACTTAACAGTTAAACTCTATAAGAAGACCAAATAATTCCCAAATAGTCATGATTTTACTAGAGTGAGGAAAAAAAATAGATGTCTAGAGGAACATAATTTGGCAATTTGACTAGGCAATGGGCTGTTTTTGAATGTAGGGCATAGAACATTTATTATTTACCACTAATATTGGCATTTGAGCAAAACCCACCATAGATTAGGGTTCTATCAAGCAGGTGTACTGGATTTTACATAGGGATGTGAAGTCCTGAAAAACTTCAAGAAAGAAACTAGGAGTTTGTTTTGGGAGTTGGAAGGATGAACCAATTGAATGTTTTCCATTTTCCCCTAGCATTCTTCTGTTGTCTCCCTATTATTTCAGCTTCTTCTTCCTGCTAAAAGTTTAGCTAGAACATCATTTCTGTTTTTGTATCCAAGATCAATTGTGCTAAACCTTTGTTCTAGTAACTTAGCTTCTAATATCTTTTGAGGTTACAATACTGTCCTGTTTATTTCCTGTTTAGTCTATCTAAATTCATATGTTGTTTTTATTGCAGAGTTTTCTTGGAGGATTGTTTGGTCCCATTTGTGAGATTGATGTCGTTCTTAATGATGCAGAATCACGAAAAACAGCCGAAATCAAAACAGAAGATGGTAAAACAGAAAAGCATTATCTCTTCTATGACGGTGAATCAGTTTCAGGAAAGGTAAACTCATTTTCTTGTCTACCGAAATCTACTTTAGAAAACACAACAGCCAGAAATATATACCAATTAGTAGACTGTTGTTAACTGTTAACTGTTGTTTGTTGATTTTATTCTGATCTTACAGTATAAGATGGACCCTGAGTCCTAAGTTTGGTTATTTAGAAGTGAATTGAAATAGTTAAATAAGCTTTCCATAAATTTTTGTCCTCAGATGTTTAAACTTCAGCTTTGGTCAATCCCAATAAGCATGGCCAATCAGTTAAAATGCTGAGTTATAGTTGCAGATATTGTGTGGGTTCCACGTTGAGAAAAGCTGGGCTAAGAAATATTCACCACCTCAAACTAAAGATTGTCTTCTCTGTCTCTTGTTGTTTGCTATCAGAGCTAGTTATAAAGCTGTAAGTCGTACATATTCATAACTAGTTCTGGGAACAAACAACATTGAAGGGCATTTTTACTGTTTTGGATAGTGCTTAGAATAAGATCTATTAAATAGGGGGCTACTCATCACTGATTTCAGCAAAAAGCATTCATGTAATTGAAATGAAACTTTTTTTTGTTTAGCTCAGTATTGTTGGGACTACAATACTGGAAGGCTTCCTATTTTGCAGGCACTGTAAACATCCTGTCTTTCTGTTTCTTGTATGAGACTTGGTGGAAAAAGCTTCAAATTATGGTGAATGTTTAAGGCCTCTCAAACTTTTTAAAGAGAGGGCCAGGTCACAGTCCCTCAAACTGTTGGAGGGCTGGATTATAATTTGAAAAAAAAAAAAACATGAATGAATTCCTATGCACACTGCACATATCTTATTTGTAGTGCAAAAAAATAAATAAAACAAAACAATAATTAAAATGAAGAACAATTTTAACAAATATAAACTTATTAGTATTTCAGTGTGGGCTTGCTTTTGGCTGATGAGATAGTATTGTTTTTGTTATGTGCTTTCAAGTCATTTCAGACCTAGGTTGACCCTGAGCGAGGGCCGGGTAAATGACCTTGTATTCGGTGTTCGGGCTTTAGTTTGAGGACCCCTGGTTTAAGGTAAAAGTGAGAGCTAGGTATAAGGGCAAGAATTGCTCAATTTTCTTCCTGTGTGAAGAATTAAATAATTTCTGTTGTATGGCCTGGAATTTTCAGATGATCCAACGGGCGGCGGCCAGGTTGTTAACTGGGGCTCCTTACAGGGAGCTGTCAACCCTCCTGTTCAAGGAGCTCCACTGGCTGCTATTAATTTACCGGACCCAATTCAAGGTGCAGGTTCTTACCTACAAAGCCCTGAACAGTTTGGGACCTGCCTACCTGCGTAACCGCATCCCACGCGATCCCTTCGATCCACGCGATCCCTTCGATCATCCGGGGAGGCCCTGCTCTCGATCCCACCAGCATCGCAGGCGCGGTTGGTGGGGACAAGAGAAGAGGGCCTTTTTGGTGGTAGCCCCTCGACTCTGGAACTCACTTCCTAAAGAAATCAGACAGGCCCCAACCTTGGCAGTCTTTAGGAGGAGCTTGAAGACGTGGTTGCTCCAGTGTGCCTTCCTGGAATGATGATCCCATAGCACTTTGTCCTCCAAAGCACTTTACATTTTTTAGATCTTCTCGTATGCCCTTCCACAAACCCCACTATCACCTTTCGTCCATGTCCCAGCATTATTTCCATTTTAACTTGGCCTTCCCACTGTTTTTAATTGCGTGTTGTCTTATTGATAATGTTGTATATTTTATTGTCTATGTTTTTATTTTAATTGCTTGTACTGTTGTAGTTTTGCTTGTATTGTTGTATTTGGGCTCGTCCTCATGTAAGCCGCACCGAGTCCCTTGGGGAGATGGTAGCGGGGTACAAATAAAGTATTATTATTATTATTATTATTATTATTGTTATTATTATTATTATGGGCATGTCCCATCTCATAGAATGAAAAGGCAGTTGGCACCCAATCCAGAGCTTTGTATTCTTCTGTCAACTCTTTTTAAATGTTTGGAGAAAAAAATGGGCGGTGAGTTTGTCGCAGTCATTCACCTTCAAATGCCTGTCACTTCCTAGTTCTCTGATTTATCTCAACTCTTCATAATTCATTGCTTAAATAGCTGTTTCACCAGTTTTTCTTCCCACAGTCATGAGTTCCTTATTTTTTTTAACATGATAAGTGATTGCATAAGGAGGAATTGGGCGTTTTGTGGAAAAGGGTTGTCCTTTTCTAGTAATTTGCCTATATTTTTATCTGCAAAGAAACTTTGGTTCAACTTTGGTGAAAGGCATCAAAATGTCACACAATCCAGCATTTAACATGGGGTAGGAACAAATTATGAATAGCCCCTTTTTTAACAAATTCCATTTTTCTTGACTGAAACTGTCTCAGTTAATTTCCTGTTTGCTTTTTCCTGGTTTTAAATAATTGTGAAATGCACAGATTGTCAAGCTTACCATAAAAGAATGATATGAAAATAATTTTAACAAGTAATCCCATTTGAGTCCTTGTAATGAAAATGATTTGGTGCATTTATGCACAGGGGAAAGAGTATTTCAACATTGTCGTGTGTTTTTTTTGCAGGTGAACATAGTGTTTAAACAACATGGAAAGAGGTTAGAACACCAAGGAATCAGAATTGAATTTGTAGGACAAATTGGTGAGTTACAAAAATTGTACTGATTTGCATAATCTTGATGTGTGGAAATCAACACCTGGATTGGTCAGAAGAAGTTAATATGTTGAATGTGTCTGCTTTAGAGTAGAGTGAGAACTTAAATAAAATAAGTGATTTGTGCTGTTCTCTGTCAAGCACCAGTTACAAGAACAAGGTATCATCTTCCCTTTATGACCGTGAGTTAGCTAGGGAATAGTTGCCTTATTGATCCTAGAGAATAATATTCAATAAGTAAGAACGGTGTACTTTATTGAAATAAGTTTTCTTGAACATCCCAATTTTGTTCCATTTTTCTTGGAGGGAGAGCTTTTTCAAGGGTATCTGCTTTGTTTCATTAGTGAAAGTGCATCAAAATGTATCTCTAGTTATACTATGAAAAATCTAAAAATCCTTATATTTTAGAGGAGAGGAGATTTCCCCTGATTTCTCACATTTATGGTAGAAAGTTGCTTTTTAGTCTAACTGTCTGGGATTAAAAGAAGGTTGACTTTTGTGCAGCACAATAAATAAAACAGTTATTTTTAAAAATGAATTTAGGATTTATGCACGGAAATTGAAAGACTGCTGAATTAATATGCTAAAAGAGCAAATGTACTCTTTAATCTTAAAAAAAATGCTAGATTCTTTGTACATTTTACCTTTTTCTCCCCTCAATTCTTACTCACTGCTTCTAGCATCCCAAGTGCCTAGCCATTAAAAAAGCTATTGTATGTTCTTCAGAAAAACTTCTCTACTTGTTTTCTAATTGTGTTTTTTAATTTTGTAGAACTTTTCAATGACAAGAGTAATACTCATGAATTTGTAAACCTAGTAAAAGAGTTGGCCTTACCTGGTGAATTAACACAAAGTAGAAGTTACGACTTCGAATTTATGCAAGTTGAAAAGCCATATGAATCCTACATTGGTGCCAATGTCAGATTGAGGTATGGAAACCAATAAGCTGATAGGCTGACTAGCTTATCTGTAATGGGATATTGGTATATATACATTTTTAAGGAGTATCAGAAAAGTCAACTCATGGGTTTGAATTAAAAGATGATTTGTACAAAAAGAAGGGTGGAAGGGACTTTTGCTAGATCCTCCCCAGCAACATGTGCTTTTTGAAAAAAGTGATCTGGAGGGTTAAGAATTGCAGGAGGAAGAGGCTCTTGGTAAAATTCAGACTATAAATGTCAGTCAAAGTAACTTTTGGGGATTAAAAAAACACTTCACAAGCATATGGTTTAATTGTAGAAATATGGAAAAACTAAACAAGATGCAGTAAACAGGAATAAAAAATCTTACATAGAAAAACAGGGTAATCCATTCTTTTTATACTATAATTCTCCAATGCTATAAATGGTAGCATTTTTTAAAAAAAAAAAACCTGCAGTGGGTTAAACCGCTGAGCTGCTGAACTTGCTGCGGTTCGAATCCAGGGAGCAGGGTGAGCTCCCGCTGTTAGACCCAGCTTCTGCCAACCTAACCGTTCAAAAACATGCAAATGTGTGTAGATCAATAGGTATCGCTCCAGCAGGAAGGTAACAGCGTTCCATGCAGTCATGCTGGCCACATAACCTAGGAGGTGTCTATGGACAACGCCAGCTCTATTTGTTTTTGGGCATTGAATGTTTGCCATTTTGTTATTATTTGTAAACAGCCCTGAGTCCCTTCGGGGAGAGATAGCGGGTTATAAATAAAGTTTTATTATTTATTATTATTCATCTTAGAAATGGAGATGAACACCAGCCCCAGAGTTGGATACTACTAGACTTAATGTCAAGGGGAAACTTTTACCTTTACCTTTTCGTAGAAGCTGGGGTAGATTTTTCCCTTGTTTTGGAGATGATGACTAGCTTCTATGAATTTATGGTACCTTTGCAAAAGAAAGACTAGCATTGTGGGTTAATGCAATTTATTATCCTCAATATAATCTTATGGTATTAGCTCAGTTGAAAAAGGTAGCCAAAGATATAGTCCTAAATATATGAAAATATATGTACAGAGTCTTCATTAAATTGTTTTACAGGTATTTCCTTAAGGTGACAATAGTAAGAAGATTATCAGACTTGATAAAAGAATATGACCTTATTGTTCACCAACTTGCAACATACCCAGATGTTAACAACTCTATTAAAATGGAAGTAGGCATTGAAGATTGTCTGCACATAGAATTTGAATACAACAAATCCAAGTATGTATGTCTCTGAATAAGCCAAACACATGGTCTTGAGAAGGGCAATCAATAAAGGACTTTAAATGAAGACTAGCAGTGATAAGCAAGAGGTCGCTTTTGGATTGTTCATCAGGATATGTGGGGTTTCCACCCAAAGTTGTCACAATTCTGAAACATTCATTTTGCCTTGAAGCAACTGTTCATGTAGCTTCCCCTTTTCACAATAAAGCTTTAACTATACATATTGAATATTCAGTTCTTGGAGTGATACAGGGATTCCAGAGCAGAAATTATGTTTAATGTTTCATATGTATTAAAGATGTAATTCGATTATTAAATAGTGAACTGGCCCAGCAAGAATTAGGTTGTGGTAGCATCTCCCTCCCTAATGGGCTGGTTCCTTACTTGAAGGGATATTCAGCTGGGAAGCATTCAGAGACATCATTAGACTCCTCTAGATTATCTTTGTTGTCCTTATTCCATCTGCTGCACATCTGTGCTGGTGTGGAGATAATCTAGAGCTGGCTTGCTTTTTGAGAGCAAGGTAATGGTTGCGATAAGTAAGGAATGGCGTGCCACCATGCTTTGAGAAGAGGATTTGGCCAGAGTTACACATGTCTATTATGAACTATAATAAACATGCCAAGGTTGGATTATTGTAATTACCGATCTGTGTGGGATTACCTTTGATGAATGCTTGGAGTCTTTGGGTATCAGCTTGCACAAAAAGTTGTGGCTAGAGTTTTGATCATGGTCAGTTCTATTTTAGATGCTTCAGTTTGGTGTTTTTTAAAGTTTTTAAAGTGCTTGTCATTGCTTCTAAAACTTTTAATAAATTTGGGAATATTTTTGCCTGCCTGCTCAGAGAATTGAAAGAGACGTTGTGCTGTGACCCACCACAACTGCAGTATGATTTAGTGGATATGCCAAAGAACAGGTTTTCTGAACAGGTTTTCTCAATTTCTGGAACTGCTTTCCCTAGGAGAGACACTTGGTTTCTGGTGAAAAGAATGGATTAGGAATAAGGAATGTTTACCCCACGATTTGCATACAGAATCTCAGTGCTGTGTCAAAACAACTTTGTAATGGAACTTTTACAGTGATGGACACTATCCATGAGTGAAACAAATAAATCAGTTCAGTCATGAATATTGTTAACATGATGGCAAATGCTTAAGTACCTGAGGACCAATGTTAGACTCACTAGTAACTGGCAACAGCAACAAGATCAGATTTTTTGAAGAAACCTAATTTTGTTTGAATAAAATCTGAATATTGTTAACAAACATGTACCATAAATGTCTGTGTGCACTCAATGTACAAATTCAACATATTTACATGCTGTCTTCCTTTACATTAAGGTATCATTTAAAGGATGTGATTGTTGGAAAAATTTACTTCCTTTTAGTAAGAATAAAAATACAGCATATGGAATTGCAACTGATCAAAAAGGAGATCACTGGAATTGGTAAGATGAGAGAAAAGATTCATTCATAGTATAGATCTAGCTTTTTCTAACAGATTTCCTCTCATTAGGTAATGTATGTGGTTGTTTGTAATTTCTACTTTGTCTGTGACATATATCTGTCGGTTTGTTCACAGTGACAGGTTCTGAAATAATGAATTCTTCAAAATGGCCTTTAAAAGGGGGTTGGTAGAAGTTGTTGGGTTGAATCCAACTTTTAGCAGAGGCATACTTCCCTGCCTTGTCTTTTCTCTAAAAATACTACACAAAGGGTTTGGGGGCTTTTTGAAAAATGTAGCGTGTAATTTGTGTAATTGTGTTCAATTATAAATGGAAAACTGGAAATAAAATATAGAAAAATACAGATGAACAGACTGATCATTGTTATTCTAGGACCCAGTACTACAACAGAGACAGAGACTATTGCAAAATATGAAATCATGGATGGTGCGCCAGTTAAAGGTGAGTACCTACATGACAAAATCTGTGGAGTACTTTTATATTACATGTAGGAACTTTACAACGTTTGTATGTAATACTAAAATAGGAATTTTAAAAGTCTAAACCAGGGGTCCTCAAACTTTTTAAACAGAGGGCCAGGTCACAGTCCTTCAAACTATTGGAGGGCCGGATTATAATTTGAAAAAAAAACAAAAACAAACCATGAATGATACTCTATTTTTCCCCTACAAAACTCATCATTTCTTCTGTTATTTAAGGTGAATCTATCCCCATAAGACTCTTTTTGGCTGGCTATGACCCTACTGCTACAATGAGGGATGTGAATAAAAAGTTCTCCGTGAGATACTTCTTGAATCTAGTGTTAGTTGATGAAGAGGACAGACGGTACTTCAAGCAACAGGTACATTCTGCAGATTGTAGCATTTTAATGAGATGGTTTTATCCCTTTTGTCATTTTCTGTTGTATTTGAAGTGCTAGTGAAGTCATAATTAGAATGCTAAACAATAAAACAGATTCCATTAAAATTATTCAGTCAGAATAGCAGCAATAGAAAGTTCTCATTAATTTTTGTTAACTAAAACCATTATTTCATTAACTTCTTTTTCTGAACTCATGGCTGTTTCTGCTCACAATTTTGAAGAAACCATGCTTGAAATACATTTCTGAAGAAATCAGGCTTGAAGTAATTGAAGAGCACTTCTTTGTTGTATTCTATTTTTAGGTCTATGAAATTTAATAAGAAATATTCTGGTTTCATATTGAATTTAATATTTAAGATTTTCTGTATTTCTTCATGGATTAGTTCCCAATATTTCTTGGCTTTGTTCCACAGCCACCACATATGGTAGAAGCTTCCTTCTTGACATTCACACTTCCAACAGTTATTGTTTAAGCTCTTATAGTATTTACTTAATTTGGATGGTGTTATGTACCATCGGTACATCATTTTTTTTTTAATATAATCTTTATTGAACATTTGGATAATACATATTAGTTAAAAATAAAAAGTAAAAGAAAAAAAAAGGAAGAAGAAAAAAGATAGAAAGAAAAAAGAGGGGGGAAAAGAAGAGGAAGAAATGTGAGTTAAAAACAATACGAAACAAAGAACAAATTTTTTCATTCTTCTTCGGTCTGACTTTCAGGGACCTTTGAGGAGGGTATTTTCCTTTTCCTTCTATAATTTGTCTTCTTTTTCTCATTTATTCTTTACCTTATATTTTACATTTAGTGGGGTTAATCTGGAATTCAACATATCTTACTTTTCCCTTATTTTACATAATCATTTAACAGTGTCCAATCTGTCTCTTTTTCTATTATCTCTTTATATTTTTGCAGTAAATAGTTTAGCCTGTCTATATTTTTTACGTCCATAATTTTCTTTTTCCAGTCTTCAATTGTGGGCGTTTCCTTTTTTCTCCATAATCTAGCATAACAAATTCTAGCCACTGTTGTGAAGAGAAATAAAAGTTTATCTATGTTGCTCTCAATATTTGTATCTAAAATTCCCAATAAGAATATTTCTGGTTTTAGTGGGATATTAATTTTCAAATTTTTTTGCAAGTTTTCTTGTATTTCTTTCTAATAATTTCTTGCTTTCTTGCATTGCCACCACATGTGATAGAATGCATCTTCCACTTCTCCACATTTCCAACATTTTGAATTTAAGTTCTTATAATACTTCCCCAATTTATGTGGTGTCAGGTACATAATTTTGAACCAGTTTTCTTTTAAGTCATATGAATAAGTTTGTTTGATTTTGTTATTCCAGCTTCTTTCCCACTCCTCTAACTTTATTGGTCTTCCGAAATTAGTGGCCCATTTAATCATGCAGTCTTTTATTAAATCCCTCTCTATCGACCACTCCAATAATTTCTTGTATATTATCACTATTGTTTTGTTTTCTGATTTCATTATTTTCTCCCAAAAGTTTTCTCTTTCCGAAAATCCTATTAGTTTAACTTTATTGCAATACTCCTTTAATTGTCTATATTGAAGCCAAGAGAGGTTTCTGAATCTTTGTTTTAATTCTTCATGTGTTTTTATTTCAAAAATATCTTTTCCTTTTATTAATATGTCCTTGCAAGTCGGCCATTCCTTCCAACCCAATAATCTTCTCTGTGAGGCTTCTAAAGTTGAGATCCAGGGTTTTTTTTTGTATACATTATCTTTTTATATCTGTCCCAGATCCTTATTAGTGTTGCTGTTATAAAATGGTTTCCAATTTTTTTCCTGTCTTTATTTTCTGGTACCATATATAGCCGTGCCATCCCACTCTTAAATCATGGCCTTCAAGAGTTAATACTTTTTCTCGATGTAATGTTGTCCATTCTTTTATCCATAATAAGCCCGATGCATCATGGTATAATTTCAGGTCCGGGAAATATAAATCATTTTTAAAGTGCTGTTAAATTGCATTCTTCTTCTATCTCCTTCCTTTTTTTGTGCTGTAACAGAATAATATGGCTATTTCTCTAAAAACTTTTTAACATATCAGTTGAACAGCAAATTGCATCCCATCTTGGTCTTGAAACAATTACATGACTTATTGGTTAACTTTTAGATACTAAACAGCAGATGTTTCTTACACTGTTTGTATGGTGTTATATTTCAACTCCTATGTTCAAACAAGTTTGTGGGGTTTTTCCTTTTGTTATGGTTACCATTTACTTTGTTTTATCCACCTTAATGTGAGAGAATTGTTTTGTACTTCCCCTACCATTTGGGGGATAGTAAATGCAGGATAAAAACATTGTAAACGAAATAAATTATGTTGCATTTTATCAGATATGGTTTATGCAAATAACTCAGTTTCTAGGTTCTTGTGGGTTTTTTCGGGCTATAGAGCCATGTTCTAGAGGCATTTCTCCTGACGTTTCGCCTGCATCTATGGCAAGCATCCTCAGAGGTAGTGACCTCACTACCTCTGAGGATGCTTGCCATAGATGCAGGCGAAACGTCAGGAGAAATGCCTCTAGAACATGGCTCTATAGCCTGAAAAAACCCACAAGAACCTAGTGATTCCAGCCATGAAAGCCTTCGACAACTCAGTTTCTAGTTCAGCTGCTTCTGTCTAATCCATTGATCTATCTGTTCAGCTATCAAACTTCTAAATTGTGTATTTTATCTTCTTGTTAAACAGGAGATCATTCTTTGGAGAAAAGCTCCTGAGAAACTGAGGAAACAGCGAACTAACTTTCACCAGCGATTTGAAAGCCCAGAACCACAAGCCTCCGCAGAGCAGCCTGAAATGTGAACCAGGTGTAGGGAGTGAAAGAACTGTTGATAGGATCAGCAGGTTAAAGGTGGCAACAGGCTGTAGGGAAGAAGAAGACCAAAACTCGCATTACCAACTGTCTTCGTCATCTTACAGTACTGCATTTCCCACACTACTAAAACATTCTTCAAGTAAACATTCAAATGTGTATATACATTTAAAACAAGTGCTTTCTCAAACACTGGAACTTTCTTAAGCTATTTTATACTGCACATTTTACTTTTGTCTGATGTGATGCACTCAGATATACATAAAGCTTACAAAAAGTTTAGCTATACGTTTCCATGCATGTAGGCTGGTGCATTTAAGTTTTGCTAATCATTGATGATAAACGAAAGCATTTCCTCTTCTATGCCACATTTCATATCATACATATTTTCTCAGTGTCTGTTACCTGTGTCCTTGAAAATGTAATAAAATATGTTGTCCTAAAATGACACATTCAGGGTTTAAAATAGGATTTTACTCTAAAAAGTACATCAGTCCTTACCACAGGGAATAGGTGACACGTATCAAAGATGATGTGCTTAGGATAAGTCTAAGACTATCATGGTCTCAGATCTGTGCATCTTTGAGGAATATGTATAAATAAGTTCTGTCCTCAAACTTGCTTTATAAAAGGAGTAATTACATTTCTATATTCCTTCCTAATCCTAATGAGTCTGTTATCAGGTTTTAACACCCTTGAAGATCATATGCCCTATCTAAATGAAATAGTTTTTGCATCCTGCCCTATTTCAGTGGAGAGGACATGTGTAAGAAAGAAACCATGTTTTAATACAATTGTATTGGTGACACTGTTGAAGTCTGAGTCACATACACACAACTTTATTCTTGTTGCACTCATTGCACCCTTTCACTCTCTTTCAAACATGCCCAAATATTGAAAAACATCCATATTTTCTTCTCTGTCCTTAGCTACATGGATGGAAACCATCTAAATTCTAAATGGATATTGGATGTTGGTGTGATGAAATATCTGATAGTTTTTTATTTTTATAAATTCATTCATCAGGTGAATTTAGCATCTTTGGAAAGCTGCCATCTGTCCACAATTAAGCATGTCGTTCACAAACAAGGTGCTTGTTTTGGGCACAACCTGCTGAATAGAAGGCTACTCACCTTTATAATTCACTTGGCCTATCTACAGATAATGCTTCTGAACTTCAGTGCAAGTGTTATTGGTTACCTTACTTTATGAGTAAGCAAAATTACTAAATTACACATCGGTAAGAACTGTTTTATTACTATGGCACTTTGATAAAACAGTCAAAGATGCTGCGTGCTGGGATATTTCTCTTATAATGGATGCCTGGGACTGAGAGAACTTAATCCCCTCATGTAAGTGCCTGTTCAAAATTTCAAACAAAAAATGCCAAATATTTTCATGAACACTTGCATATAGCAATCTGAAAACTATTCCAAGAAATTTTGAAAACTGATTGTATTTAACCAGCCTCAAATTGTGCATCTGTGTATAATAGACATAATGAACTGCTATTTGAATTATTAAAATAGTTGTATTCTCACTAAAACATTTTGATTGTCTTTAATTTAACATGGCACTGTATGCAATGCCTCTCACTCAGTTAACCACATAGATTAAGTAGACATCTTGAAGTCAGACTTGGGTTCAAAGTATGAAGCTCTGGGAATGGAGAGGAATACTTTTGTCATTAGTTGAGTGATGATACCCAAGTACTTCATGATGAGCAGTTTATGATTTTCAGAAGATGCCCAATTTTTATCATAAACATCTTCACATAGCAAGAAAAATACTGGTAAAAGCATATTTCTGACAGTAATGAGTAGTTTATTTGTGTTTCCATGCCTAACACTTTGATTAACTGGCCATCTGGTGGGGGTGCTTGGCTTGTGCTTTTCCTGCATGGCAGGGGATCGGACTAGATGGCCTGTGTCAGTGGTTCTCAACCTGTGGGTCCCCAAGTTTTTTGGCCTACTACTCACAGATATCGCAGCCAGTTTACCAGCTGTTAGGATTTCTGGGAGTTGAAGGCCAAAACACTGGCCTATGTGGTATCTTCCAATTTTATGATTTACTACATCCCTTGATGTCAGGTGTACTTTTGCATACTTTTGGTCTATTGCCCATTGATTTCAGTGTGTCTCTCTTGTATTTATACAGCTCTGGGTTGGGATAATTCCCAGCACTTCAACAATAGCACTTAAATATATTGCCTTAGGATATGGGCAATGGTACATAGAAGTCACAGAGAAATTTATTACTAATAAATGTCTTGTTTTAGCCTGAGGATGTTTTGAGATCCTCCTTAATTCAGCACCAAAGGTCGAGAAGATGCCCTGCCATCATTTCAAGGAAGATGACACAACGATGGGGAAGACTGTCTCTTGGTATTGTAATGGATGCAATATTGTGTTTATTTATAACCAGTGGTTCTCAACCTGTGGGTCCCCAGATGTTTTTGTCTTCAACTCCCAGAAGTCGTAACAGCTGGTAAACTGGCTGGGATTTCTGAGTCGTAGGCCAAAACATCTGGGGACCCACAGGTTGAGAACCACTGATTTATACTCCGCTTTTTTTCTCCACAAAGGATACTCAGGCCCCTTCTACATTGCCATATGAAATTCAGATGATCTGCTTTGAACTGGATTATATGGCAGTTTACACTAATATAATCCAGTTCAAAGCAGAGGTGGATTATCTGCTTTGATAATCTAGATTACATGGCAGTGTAGAAGGGCCCTCAATCGGGTTACAAACCAAGGCGTTGCCATTCTGCTTTGACTGAGTAATTTATCACATCAGAAGCAAATTGGGAATACACTTATATATCTATATAAATATATAAATGCTCAAGATCCTGCAAGGAAGATTCCAGCAATACATGGAGCGAGAGTTGCCAGATGTTCAAGCTGGGTTTAGAAAAGGCAGAGGAACGAGAGACCAGATTGCCAATATCCGCTGGATAATGGAGAAAGGCAGGGAGTTTCAGAAAAACATCTATTTCTGCTTCATTTACTATTCTAAAGCCTTTGACTGTGTGGATCATAATAAATTGTGGCAAGTTCTTGGTGGGATGGGCATACCAAGCCACCTTGTGTCTCTCCTGAGGAATCTGTACAAGGACCAAGTAGCAACAGTCAGAACTGACCACGGAACAACAGACTGGTTCAAGATTGGGAAAAGCGTACGGCAAGGCTGCATACTCTCACCCAACCTTTTTAACTTGTATGCAGAACACATCATGCGATGTGCGGGGCTTGATGAATGCAAAGCTGGGGTGAAAATTGCTGGAAGAAACATTAACAACCTCAGATATGCAGATGACACCACTCTGATGGCCGAAAGCGAGGAGGAGCTGAGGAGCCTTCTAATCAAGGTGAAAGAAGAAAGCGCAAAAGTTGGGTTGCAGCTAAACGTCAAAAAAACCAAGATTATGGCAACAAGAATGATTGACAACTGGAAAATAGAGGGAGAAAATGTGGAGGCCGTGACAGACTTTGTATTTCTAGGTGCAAAGATTACTGCAGATGCAGACTGTGGCCAGGAAATCAGAAGACGCTTACTTCTTGGGAGGAGAGCAATGTCCAGTCTCGATAAAATAGTAAAGAGTAGAGACATCAGACTGGCAACAAAGATCCGCCTAGTCAAAGCCATGGTATTCCCTGTAGTCACCTACGGATGTGAGAGCTTGACCTTAGGGAAGGCTGAGCGAAGGAAGATCGATGCTTTTGAACTGTGGTGTTGGAGGAAAGTTCTGAGAGTGCCTTGGACTGCGAGAAGATCCAACCAGTCCATCCTCCAGGAAATAAAGCCCGACTGCTCATTGGAGGGAAGGATACTAGAGACAAATTTGAAGTACTTTGGCCACATCATGAGGAGACAGCAAAGCTTAGAGAAGACAATTATGCTGGGGAAAGTGGAAGGTAAAAGGAAGAGGGGCCGACCAAGGGCAAGATGGATGGATGGCATCCTTGAAGTGACTGGACTGACCTTGAAGGAGCTGGGGGTGGTGATGGCCGACAGGGAGCTCTGGCGTGGGCTGGTCCATGAGGTTACGAAGAGTCGGAGACGACTGAACGAATGAACAACACAAGAAGAGACAACAGACTGGCAACAAAGATCCGCCTAGTCAAAGCCATGATATTCCCTGTAGTAACCTACGGATGTGAGAGCTAGACCTTAGGGAAGGCTGAGCAAAGGAAGATCATCACTTATGAAAACACTGAAAAACAGCAGAAGAGACTTTAAAAAGCCAAAAAACAAAAATTACATTGCCACATGCGCAAAACCATATCCAAACATATACACAAAACACATATATACAGACTGGGCCACAGCAACGTGTGGCAGGGGACGGCTAGTAATGTATAAAAAAAACCCACAAAGTGGTATGACTGAGTGAGAGCAAACTTTATCAAGACCCATCCAGCTTTACAAGGCCACATGGCCAGCCAATGCCTTCCTAGCTGGCTATCGCTTTGCCTGAGGGGGCCTTTCAGACGAGGGCGCCAAGGTCCTTTGCGAGAGGGTTGGAAGCCCTGCCCTAGATCAGAGTCGGCCTTCTGGCTAACTCTTCCCTCGACTTGTAGGTTGCCTTGAGGCATTCTGTTTTCCTCCGCCGTTCCAGGCACCTCATTAGTCACCTCAGGGGCCTGCATCGCGCGCTGATGACGACAAGGACGTGCGCCGGCGTCTCACGCTGGTTTCTCCTTGGCGGCGTCGCGTCCATGTCTGTCCGCAGCTACACTCGGCTCCTGGCGGGCTCGCTCCGCTATGGCGGCGCCGTCGCTGCTCTCGGGAGGCGGCAGGGAGGCCTTGCCGGGGTTAGAGCGGCCGCCTCGGCTTCCTCCTCCTCTTCCGATGGCGGCGGGCTCCGTGCTCCGGACACTTCCTTGTTCGTGCCGCTTCCCGTCTCCCCTGCGGCGCCGGGCCCTGAGGGGGACATCGGGGCCGAGCTCACCCGCCCCCTCAATAAGAGTAAGGCCTCAGGGTGGGGGGGGGGGAGCGGGCCCAGAGCGCGGGGGTCCCACAAAAGGAAGGCATTTCCCGCCCAAATAGGAAATCCTCCTCACGACCTCCCTTTTCTTGCACTCGCTGCAGGACCTTTCACGCAGCCATATATCATAGAATCAAAGAGTTGGAAGAGACCTCATGGGCCATCCAGTCCAACCCCTTGCCAAGAAGCAGGAATATTGCATTCAAATCACCCCTGACAGATGGCCATCCAGCCTCTGTTTAAAAGCTTCCAAAGAAGGAGCCTCCACCACACTCCGGGGCAGAGAGTTCCACTGCTGAACGCTCTCACAGTCAGGAAGTTCTTCCTCATGTTCAGATGGAATCTCCTCTCTTGTAGTTTGAAGCCATTGCTTCCGCGTCCTAGTCTCCAAGGAAGCAGAAAACAAGCTTGCTCCCTCCTCCCTGTGGCTTCCTCTCACATATTTATACATGGCTATCATGTCTCCTTTCAGCCTTCTCTTCTTCAGGCTAAACATGCCCAGCTCCTTAAGCCGCTCCTCATAGGGCTTGTTCTCCAGACCCTTGATCATTTGAGTCGCCCTCCTCTGGACACATTCCAGCTTGTCGATATCTCTCTTGAATTGTGATGCCCAGAATAGCAAGGCAGATAATCCACAAGATCTGCTTTGGAATTTCCAGAGAAGTCATGCTTCCCTTTCTCTTCTGCCTTGGTTAGACCACACCTGGAATATTGTGTCCGATTCTGGGCACCACAATTGAAGGTTGACAAGCTGGAATGTGTCCAGAGGAGGGCGACTAAAGTGATCAAGGGTCTGGAGAACAAACCCTATGAGGAGCGGCTTAAAGAGCTGGGCGTTATGCCGTTACGCCCAGACGCTTTAAAATAAAACTTTGACGTGCTGGCTATCTATGTCTGGGCGAAACTGCTGGGGTCTTTCTTTAGACAATTGAGCTTTCTTGAAAAACTGAGTCCACTTCAAGATTGAAACATTAAACAGGGTATTTATTCACGAAGTCCTGGTAGACTTGGTTCCGCTTATCAATATTACGAAACAATCAATGAGTAATCAACTCCATCTATATTAATAAATTCTATCTATATTCAATTGTTCCCTATCTATGACTCAATTAAACTCAATTACTCTATCTATCTATTTATTATCTATAGGTCTCAATTAAACTAAATTAAACTCAATTGTTTTTACAATGGTATCTTCTGAGGTACCTGTCAGCCAACAGCACATCATGGATTCTTCCTTTAGGCTGAAGAGGCAGGGAGACCTCCAAAATGGCTGCTTCTACCCTGGAAACAGGGGCGGGCCCAAAGAACTACTCTTTGGCCAATTATTGCAGAGGGCCCGAAAACTGGCTTTCCTGCCTCTGACTGCTAACTTTTTAGGCCTTTGCAGAGGCTGCAGCAGCCTAGGAGAAAGGCAAGGAGCAACCAATTTAAGCAACCCAAAAAGGCAATAAACCCAGTCTCCTGGGAGACGGAACAGGTGTGTTTAGCCTGGAGAAGAGAAGGTTGAGAGGAGACATGATAGCCATGTATAAATATGTTATTTTTATTTATTTATTGTGTCAGTGAAACCAGTCAATTATATTACATTTCTAACAGAACAAAGCAAACAAACAGACAAAATACAAAATTTGCAAGCTTGGTAGTTGATTAAATGTCCTTTGACCAGTATCTGGCCACTTGGAGTGCCTCTGGTGTTGCTGCAAGAAGGTCCTCCATTGTGCATGTGGCAGGGCTCAGGTTGCATTGCAGCAGGTGGTCAGTGGTTTGCTCTTCTCCACACTCGCATGTTGAGGATTCCACTTTGTAGCCCCATTTCTGAAGGTTGGCTCTGCATCTCGTGGTGCCAGAGCGCAGTCTGTTCAGCGCCTTCCAAGTCGCCCAGTCTTCTGTGTGCCCAGGGGAGTCTCTCATTTGGTATCAGCCATTGGTTGAGGTTCTGGGTTTGAGCCTGCCACTTTTGGACTCTCGCTTTCTGAGGTGTTCCAGCGAGTGTCTCTGTAGATCTTAGAAAACTATTTCTAGATTTAAGTCGTTAACGTGCTGGCTGATATCCAAATAGGGGATGAGCTGGAGATGTCACTGCCTTGGTCCTTTCACTATTGGCTGCTACTTCCCGGTGGATGTCAGGTGGTGCAATACTGGCTAAGCAGTGTAATTTCTCCAGTGGTGTAGGGCGCAGACACCCCGTGATAATGCGGCATGTGTCATTAAGAGCCACATCCACTGTTTTAGTGTGGTGAGATGTGTTCCACACTGGGCATGCATACTCAGCAGCAGAGTAGCATAGCGCAAGGGCAGATGTCTTCACTGTGTCTGGTTGTGATCCCCAGGTTGTGCCAGTCAGCTTTGTATGATATTGTTTCTAGCACCCACTTTTTGCTTGATGTTCAGGCAGTGCTTCTTGTAGGTAAGAGCACGGTCCAGAGTGACTCCCAGGTATTTGGGTGTGCTGCAATGCTCCAGTGGGATTCCTTCCCAGGTGATCTTCAGAGCTCAGGATGCTTCTCTGTTCTTGAGATGAAAGGCACATGTCTGTGTTTTAGATGGGTTGGGGATCAGCTGGTTTTCCCTGTAATAGGCAGTAAGAGCACCTAGGGCTTCGGAAAGCTTCTTTTCTACCATCTCAAAGCTCCCTGCTTGAGCAGTAATGGCACGATCATCAGCATAGATGAAACTCTCTGTCCCTTCTGGCAGTGGCTGGTCATATGTGTAGATGTTGAACATGGATGGAGCAAGCACGCTCCCCTGAGGCAGGCCGTTCTTCTGTTTCCGCCATCTGCTTCTCTGGCCCTGGAACTCAACAAAAAAGCTCCTGTTTTGTAGCAGGTTTCCTATGAGGCAGGTGAGGTGGTAGTCCTTTGTGATATTATACATTTTTCTCAGGAGGAGAAACACTTGCGATGTGCAGCTTTTGCCTTTTCTGAAGCCAGCTTGCTGTGGGAGCAGACAAGGGTCAATTTATCCTCTTTAAACTGGATTATCTGAGTCCACACTCAGATAATGTGGGATTTTCTGCCTTGATATTCTGGGATATAGGGCTGTGTGAAAGGGCCCTGAAGGTGAGTGGGAAAACATGCTTATTGAAAAATTTCCCCAATAGAGATGTCAGTAGCCTTTTACCTTCCATAAAGGACATGCTATTGTATATTAATGTATATCATTGCTTTTCTTCCACAAATAAAAATATTTGGCCTCATATCATATGAGTGTTTACGTACCAGTGTTTTGTAGGTTCCAAACAGCTGAGTAAAATCCCACATTATCTGCTTTGAACTGAAGTATATTGCATTGTGGACTCAGATAACCCAGTTCAAAGCAGATCTTGTGGAATTTTCTGCCTTGATGTTCTGAGTTATATGGCTGTGTGGGAGGGCACCTAGTTTCATTTTAAATCCTGACCATCTATGATGTGACAGAGAGCCCCTTTCCCAAAGTCATTGACTAGTTTCTACAAATATCCCTGATCTGAATGGCCTGTCACTTTATTTTGGATTTCAACACTTCATGTTTTGTGAAGAAAATAGTTTGAAGCAGGTTTAAAGAATATGGATTTGAGTGTGTCTGGGGACAGTTGCTTCTCTCTGAATATAAACACTTACACACACACACACACACACACACACACACACACACATAAATTAAATGCTGTTAATAAAAGGTTGTAAATAGCTGCATACTGTATATTTCTATAACATTTCTTGTATTGATTAGTGTGATACAATCTTTATTTTATCTTCTAGGTGAAGCGCTGAAAATATTAAATAAATTTTACAAGAGGAAAGAAATACAGAAACTGGGGGCAGAAAATGGACTAGATGGTATGAAATGCGTAGTTCTTGGATATTATTGGATATTTCTTCTGAGATATAGTTCTCCCACAACATGATCTTTTTTTAGCATCACGAACCATTCTGAGGAAATTCTATTTGAAAAGCTAGCTGCTTAAGACTTAGATTATGCTAAAATATCAGTACCCAATAAAATAATGTTTTAAGAGTACCAAGTATCTATGAAGAACCTTGAAATGTTATAGGACCTATCATAAAACAACTTCTTAGTGTATTCAATTTGGGTTAATATTTTAGGATATGGAACTTTACAAGCATTTCCGAACCTTTTTTTCTTTCTTTCCCTTTACAGCTCGCCTTTTTCATCAAGCATTTATTAGCTTTAGGAAATACATTATGGAATCCAGTTATCTGAGTCCTGATATTCACATTATTCTAAATGATATATGCTGTGGTGCAGGTAAGCATGGAGAAAAGAATATTTCATAAACGTCCTTTTAATACTATCTCTGGTTAAAGGTTATCGACCTTGATCTTGCTCAGGAGAGTCTATTAGGGATTAGATTACAGAGTATGTAGTGAGATGGATACTGTGGTCTTTTGAAAAGATAAATGAGTCTTAGACAAGTTAAGCCGGAACTCTCACTAGAAGCAAAGAAGACTAAATGGAGGCTATTGTATAAAATCTGTATCAGAAGTTACCTATTTTCCAAAAGAAAGTTTTCATTTATTTTAAAGATACTTTTTGAGGGAAAAATATAAATATGATTCAGAGTTCTCATGCTGGGACAAGATGGTAATGCAGAACAGCTCTCCCAGCTAATCTTTGAAGGGTCAGAATAGTTTTATATTGGTAAAATTAGTTATTTGCATTTAACAAGACTACACTTGTTGTTCTGTCGCCACTGGGTCCGAACAAAATGTCTTTATTCTACAGGACGCACACTTTAAACCCAGTGGGAAGCCGGGGTGCCCGAAGAGAGATTGTTAGAGACTTCCAGAAGTAATGGGCTTTAGAGTCTTTAAAAGTACAACAAAGTCTTTATTAAGGAACAAATCTTCAACAATACTTCAAGGCTTTACTATTCTAGTCTTTAAGAGACTGGCACTAACTTGGTTTAACTGTACTATCTCAGCATAAGGAAGAACTCTTTATAATCCCTCCCAGGCCGCTTTCTATCTATGCCTAGTCGGCGTGGGTGCTGCTACCGAAATCCACGTGCATCTGGGTATCGAGCAGACCTTACCGGCTGAGGCTTGAAGATATAGCAGCCGGAGTTCTGTGGTTCTACGATGCTGTCTAGTGGGAACTTCAGGTCTGTTTTCCCCTCTGGTGCTGTGAGGCTGAGAGGCTATGAGCTCTCAGCCAGAGCCTTTGGGACCTTTTCCTTCCGTATCCCTGGAACTGGATGGTCACTGGATGACCCCTGGATGGTCGCTGGATGGACCCCGGATGGCTGTTTCTGTTTCCCCGGAAGGTTTTGAGGAATGAAGCCTTTCCTACGGGACTAGCTGATCTGCGTCCTATAGACTGGCTTCCTTGTGTGACTGACTGAAAAATGGCCCCTTCCCTCCAAAAACTCAAGAAGGGGCGGGACCTGGGAACCTAACTATAATTGGCAGGTGGCTTACCCTATGATTGCAGCCTATAACAGGAAGCCACCCTGCCGCAAAATCCCAACCCTGGGATTGCAAACAAACATTAAACACAGCAAATAAATCTGAAGCTCCTGGAACAGCTGTTCCAGAACACTTGTTCTAAATACAACATTGTGTGATGATCTGCTTATTTATTTATTTTGTATCAAAAGCATTGCATAAATTAGTACAAAACCGATAAAAATAGAAGGAGCGCAGGTGGCTAAATATTCCAGGTTTTAACTAGTTTGTAAATTTTCAGTTCTACATGCTTTACCCATCCACTCATGATTTTTTTTTATTGCAGCATTTTAATTCCTTTTCTCTGTTCAGCTGTTAAAATGCTGATCCATAAAAACGGGCAACAGCAATAGCATTGTGTGTAGCCTCCAACAATTCTTCCTCTGTACGTGAGGCAGGGCATAGTAGACAAGCATACAGAGGAGTTGTCTGTTCTGCTCCACAGTCACATAAGGTGTGGGATTCTTTTAGGCAGTGCCATTTTGCCAGGTGGCCTTTTGATCTGCCTACTCCACTTCTGAGTCTGTTCAGGGACTTCCAAGTTGCCCATTCTTGGTTTGCCCCTGGAGGAAGATCCTCGTGGGGGGCCATCCAGTTGGGATTTCCTGGTTTAGCTGCCCAGAGGGATACCCTTGCTGTTGCTGGGGGGATGCCAAGAGGAGTGGTAGTTCTCATAAAGCTTTTCCTTGATTTGAGTCTACTGGGAGGAGGCTGGTAGCCATGTAGTGGATGGCTTTCACAGTGTTCAACCTTATTTCTCTCACATTTAGCAGCAACTTCCTGTCACATGGGGGGGGGGGGCAATGCCAGCTAGCTTGTAGAGTTTATCAACAGGTGTAGGTTTAAGACACCCTGTGATTATTCTGCATGTTTTTGCTAATAAATTATTTTAAGTTTGTTTTATCCTTTCTCTCTCTTTTCCTCCTGCAGGCCATGTCGATGACCTATTTCCATTTTTCATGAGACATGCTAAGCAGATCTTTCCTATGTTGGAGTGCATGGATGATCTGCGTAAAATCAGTGACTTAAGATTGCCACCCAACTGGTTAGCTTTTTAAAATCACTAACACATTTTCCACTTTGTAACTATATACTATTGTTAATTGCCATTAAATTGCTTTGACTTATGGCAACCCTATGAATGAGAGACCTCAGAGTCTCCATATTATCAAAAGCTCTGCTCAGGTCTTGCAGACACAGGATGTGGTTTTCTTGATTGAGCCTCTCCATCTGGAATGTGGTCTTCATTTTTTCCTACTTCCCAGACTTTATAATTTTTTCTACTGAGTTATGTCTTCTCATGACAAACATGACAGTTAGTTTAGCCATTTTGGCTTCTAGGGAGAGTTTAGGCTTGGTTTGCTTTACGACACATTAATTTGTCAATTTTAGCAGTCCACATTATCCATAGAACTGCTCTCCAGTACCACATTTCCATTGAATTGATTCTTTTCCCATCCACTTTCTTCACTATCCAGCTTTCACAACCACACATAAATAAGGACAATGATGGCATGGACAATCCCAATTTTTTAATTCAATTATATGTTTGTGCACTTCAGGATCTTGCCTAGTTGCCTTACACCTGTCCTTACATCTGTATGGCATTCTCTCATGGCCAAACAGCCCGTAAAACCCACAGCAACCTCAGTGATTCTAGCCATGAAAGCCTTCGACAACACAGTCATTTTGTTTGTTTCCTTAACCACACTTTTCCAAACATCTTGCATGTGTTATATATGCTGATTGTTTTGGACTTGTGTTGCTTTTAATATGTTGTAAAATACTTTGGGTCCCTTTGTAGGAAAAAAGCGGGATACAAATAAAAATATTGTTGTTGCTCCATCCTACATGACCCCCATAGATGCAATTCTGTGTCTTACATCTCCAACATTACACTCAATGAAATTTATCCATTTTAACTAACATCTCTGATGTTATGTAACATCTATAGAACATTTTATACCTATTTCTCTAATAAAGACAGCTATTGAAAAGTTTAAATCATCTTTTTCATAGATATTCCCATTTCTTCATCTCCCAGATATAGGAATGTAGCTGGACTAATATTTGCTGCTCCTCCCTCTACCAATAGGGAACTATCCATGGGGCAAATTCAATGGAAAATGAGATGCTTGGAGGAGAACAGAATTCTGATCTCTGCAGTAACTAAATAAGTGGGTTATGATGGTGTAAGTTGGATCTGTGTCGTCATAATCCACTAACAGGGTGCCAGCCTAATAATAATAATAGTAATAATAATAATAATAATAAAAAACTTTATTTATATCGCGCCACCATCTCCCCAAGGGGACTCGTGGCAGCTTACATGAGGCCAAGCCCAACAACACATCAGTAAAAACAAAACAGCAAGCAAATAAAACAGTACAATTAATATAACTCACATATAAACAATAACACAGAGAATTTAAAACCTTATGGCCGGGCCAGATGTAATAAATTATTTTTTTTAAATAAACACTGGGCGTGAACAGAGGTAGGATGTATCTAAGCAGAAGGGTTTTAAAAGATAATGTAGGGAGACCAACCCAATGGATAGTAACGTGCTTCTGAGGACAATTGCAGAGAATTAATTAGAGCAGGGCATTGTTTCCTTATTCAGGGAAGGCACACTGGAACAGCCACGTTTTCAGGCTCCTCCTAAAGACTGCCAATGTGGGGGCTTGTCTGATATCCTTGGGGAGTGAGTTCCAGAGTCGGGGGGCCACCATAGAGAAGGCCCTCTCTCTCGTCCCCACCAATCGCACCTGCGAAGGGGGTGGGAGTGAGAGCAGGGCCTCTCCAGATGATCAAAGAGATTGTGTGGGTTCGTATACAGAAATGTGGTCACACAGGTAGGCGGGTCCCAAACCATTCAGGGCTTTGTAGGTAAGAACCTGCACCTGACTGGAAAATGAACGGCAGCCAGTGGAAAACCTATCATGCCTTAAACAGGGGGGTTGATCGCTCCTTGTAAGTTGCTCCTGTGTAGTTTAACATCAGTGACTTGCTTTATTCCATTACTTGACAAGTTAGATTATGTAGATTTGCTACCCAGTTATCGAATCACATGCTCTAAAATAATATAAAGCTGCATTATTAGTTTATTAGGTTTCAGTGATATTTTGAATACATTTTACTAGTTCAGTATTGCACTCCGACATTCTTATTCCATCGTATTTTTACTTGGGACTAAGTTTTTCCTGTTTCCTGGGATATTCTCCCAAGTCAGTGGGTATAAGATTCCCCCAGTGGCGCAGTGGGTTAAACCCTTGTGCTGGCAGGATTGCTGACTGACAGGTTATCGGTTTGAATCTGGGGAGAGTGGGTTGAGCTCCTTCTGTCAGCTCCAGTTCCAATGGGAGGACATGACAGAAGCCTCCCACAAGAATGGTAAAACATCAAACAGCCGTACGGCCAATTCTTTCACACCAGAAGCAACTTGCAATATCTCAAGTTACTCCTAACACAAGAACAAACGTGTGTATAGGATTTCTGTCCATGTGCTCTGCACCTTCAATAGAGACTTGTTTCATAGTGTGAACTGAAACGTGCTGACAGCAATCTTTCTCAGATGAACAACTCAGACAAATCAGGGTTAGTATTTAAAATGGGTGAAATGAAAGGAAAGGGGGATTGATTCAAAAGTGAATCTAGACTGCTTTACAACTTTGCATTTTTGTATGTTGTTTTTTATTTCCTATTTCCTGTGTTTATACCCTGCCCTTCTCCCCTTTTTTGTGTTTGTGTATTCTAGGTATCCAGAAGCAAGGGCTATCCAGAGGAAAATTGTGTTCCATGCTGGCCCTACGAACAGTGGAAAAACCTATCATGCAATCCAGAGATATTTAGCAGCAAAATCGGGAATCTATTGTGGCCCTTTAAAGCTTCTGGCACATGAAATCTTCCAAAAGAGTAATGATGCTGTCAGTATGTCAATGTATTTTAATGCTGTTATCGCCATGTTGTAGTTTATGCTATGATAGCAAGTACTCTGATGATGATACGTGAAATAAAAATGCCAAGTTTGCATGATTTTTTTCTTAACTGTATAAATAGGTACCCCTAGAAGTTTATGATTTATATTTTAACTGTGGGCAAGTAGGACAGAAATTGGAAAAAAGACAGAAGAGATGAGAGTAGAAAGAAAAATAAGACAGAATAAGAGTATTATGGATTTTATGAATAAGAGTACAGTATTAGATTTTATGAAGAATTAACCGTCACCTGCCACACGTTGCTGTGGCCCACATGGGGATTCTGTGTGGGAGGTTTGGCCCAATTCTATCGTTGGTGGGGTTCAGAATGCTCTGTGATTGTAGGTGAACTATAAATCCCAGCAACTACAACTCCCAAATGTCAAGATTCTATTTTCCCCAACTCCACCAGTGTTCACATTTGGGCATATTGAGTATTCGTGTAGAGCTTGGTCCAGATCCATCATTGTTTGAGTCCACAGTGATCTCTGGATGTAGGTGAACTACAACTCCAAAACCAAAGGACACTGCCCACCAAACCCTTCCAGTATTTTCTGTTGGTCATGGGAGAACTGTGTGCCAAGTTTGGTTCAATTCCATTGTTGGTGGAGTTCAGAATGCTCTTTGATTGTAGGTGAACTATAAATCCCAGCAACTACAACTCCCAAATGACAAAATCAATTTTTTTGAGTGAAGGACATACATTGGGTTGTTAGGTGTCTTGTGTCCAAATTTGGTGTCAATTCATCCAGTGGGTTTTGAGTTCTGTTAATACCACAAACGAACATTACATTTTTATTTACATAGATGGAAATGTGTACTTCTGTAATCGTTATTGCATGTTCTGTAATGATTTCAATTTGTATAACTGTATAAATAGGTATCCCTAAAAGCATATAATTTATATTTTACTGTAGGCAAGTAGGACAGAGATTAGAAAAATACAGAGGAGATGAGAGCAGAAAGGAAAAAATAAGAAAGAATAAGAATATTATGGATTAGATTGTATGAAGGATCAAAATGTGTACATCTGTAATTGTTATTGCGTGTTCTGTAATAGTTTCAATTTAAGGAATTTGGAATAACTGAGCTGCTTGAAGGCCCACACTATTGCAGAATTTTGCGTGGGCTTTTTTCCTCTCCCTTAGAAAGAATACTAAGCCAAAATGCAAGAAGGAAATGAAGCTTAGACTGCTTTTACTATCTTTTGCTAGTAATCGAGCCTTGCAACATTTTATATATCTCTGTGTTTATCTACCATCTTATGTGTCTCTGTAAATGTAACTTCCAGTAATTTTTCATCCACAATATGATAGTTATTTCCAAAATTCGAAGGGCTACAGTTCAATAGTATATCCGAAAACTCCTAATTTTCTTGGGGCATTTCCCAGTCAGCCCTGGGAAGAGCCTCATCTATCACCCTATAGGTAATATTGAGATAGATCAGCCCATATTTATGATAGTTTCCATGGAAGTGAAACAAATTTGATATTACCTATTGAATCTAAAGGAAATGTGCTTTAGAACCTACATTCTTAAGGGTTTGAGTGTTTCAACTATATTTAGGACTTTACTTTTCACATCTCTCAAGTGTAGTATCGATGATACTTTCTGACCATCATTTTGTTTGCATCCATTGCCTTTTTCTTCCTTGCAGAATGTGCCCTGTGACTTGGTGACCGGAGAAGAACGTGTCTCAGTTGATCCCGAAGGTCGGCCAGCTGCCCATGTTGCTTGCACCATTGAAATGTGCAGTGTCAATACACCCTGTATGTATGCTCTTTTTATTTTTGAAAAGTTTTTCAAGAATTTTGAACCATAGTCATAATTGTTTTTTTTTTTTAAATGGGAATATTTTAACTAAAAACTCGTTCCTGGCTTTGTTTGCTAGATGCCAACTTTGGGAGAGTATATAAGTTGAGTTGTAGGTTTTTCGGGCTATATGGCCATGTTCTAGATGCATTTAGGAGAGAATGCCTCTAGAACAGTGGTTCTCAACCTGGGGTCCCCAGCTGTTTTTGGCCTACAACTCCCAGAAATCCCAGTCAGTTTACCAGCTATTAGGATTTCTGGGAGTTGAAGGCCAAAAACATCTGGGGACCCCAGTTTGAGAACCACTGCTCTAGAACATGGCCATATAGCCTGAAAAAACCTACAACAACCCAGTGTTTCTGGCCATGAAAGCCTTCGACAATATATAAGTTGAGCATCCTTTATTTGAAATGCTTGGGACTAGAAGTGTTTGGGATTTCAGATTTTTTTTCAAAGGCTGTATTTTCATAGTAAAGGTAAAGGTTTCCCCTTGGCATTAAGTCTACTCGTGTCCGACTCTGGGGGTTGGTGTTCATCTCCATTTCTAAGCCGAAGAGCTAGTGTTGTCCATAGATACCTCCAAGGTCATGTGGCTGGCATGACTGCATGGAGCTCTGGGACCTTCCCGACAGAGCGGTACCTATTGATCTACTCACATTTGCATGTTTTTGAACTGCTAGGTTGGCAGAAGCTGGGCTGACAGCGGAAGCTCACGCCGCCCTGGATTTGAACCACTGACCTTTCGGTCAGCAAGTTGAGCAACTCAGTAGTTTCACCTACTGCTCCATCAGGGTGGCTCTATAATAATAATAATAATAATAATAATAATTAATAAATAAATAAATAAACTTTATTTATACCCTGCCACCATCTCCCCAATGGGGACTTGGAGCAAATTACATGGGGCCAAGCCCGGACGACATTACAATGAAATAAAACCAAAAACATAACCGACAATCAACATCATCAAAATTACATAAAAGAAGAAAAAAAACATTCTAATAAACACAATCATAATAACAGTGGACGGGCTGCACGTACAGGATAAAACAGTTAAAAAGCTCTAATGAGATAAAATGTATTTGCATATATGTATGAGTAATGAGATATATTGGAGCTGGAAGCCAAGTCTAAATAAAAATTATATACTTTGGAGAGCTTGGCTATTAGAATATAGTCTAATAATTTTCCTCTCCAGTCCTTTATAAGTAACTTTTCCCCCTCCCATGATTTTGCTATAATTAATTCTGCAGCAACAAAACTGTATCAACAAATCTCTACATCTCATTAACTAATTCTTTCATAAAATAAACCTAATAGACACACCGGGGAGGAACAAATGAAAACTTTTTTAGAAAATGGAGGCATTTGAGTCTTTAGAAAGGAAGACAAATGTAGATTTTAAGAAAGCTGAAAGCAGACTGTATTAATATAAAGATAAGGGTAGTTTTTTATTTAGTTTCACTCTGAGTGAATGGGTGGTGATTCATGGGTGGGGGAAGGGGGTGGGTTCGGTGGACAGATATATATTACGTGTATTTGAATTTCCTTTTGCATTCTGTATACCACCTTTACACAATAAAAAATTGTTAAAAATAAAATAACAATTATATATTTTTCATGTATATCTTATAAACATACCCAGAAAATAATTTCATAATATGTTAATAGTTTTATCCATGAAATACATTGAACTACCAGGAAGCAAAGGTGTCACTATCTTAGCCATCAATGTGGACAGTTTTGGATTTTGGGGGTATTTTGGCATTCAGAATAGGGATGCCCAACTTTTCCAAGCACTTATTATGATGTATTGACAATCTAGAAAAATCAAAACATGGAAACACTTTTAAAATGAATAACCACTTTGAAGAGCTCATACTAAGAATCGCTATTACATTGTGCCTTTATATTCTATACTAGCTTGGGGACCCGGCGTTGCCCGGGTTATTAGAGAAAGTGGGTAATGGCGGTTCTGTATGCCAAGTTTGGTCTTTATTGGTCTTTGGATAATGGCAGCATTATTTTCAGGAAGTGAGTGAAGGTACTTGAAGTCCCATCATCCATGGCCCATCCTCCTACAAACAGCAGTAGGATATAGAGTGGGTCATGGGGGCTCTGTGCCAAGTTTGGTCTTTCTTGGTATTTGGATGAGTGTCACTGTGGTTTCAGGAAGTGAGTGAAGGTACTGCAAGTCCCATCATCCATTGTCCGTCCTCCTCCAAACAGCACCAGGATGTAGAGTCGCTCATGGGAGCTCTGTTGTGCCAAGTTTGGTCTTGATTGGTCATTAGATGAGGGTTGCAGCAGTCTTGGAAGGGAGTGGAGGTACTTGAAGTCCCATCATCCATGGTCTGTCCTCCTCCAAAGTGCACCAGGATGTAGAGTGGGTCATTGGAGCTCCATGTGCCAAGTTTAGTCTTGATTAGTCATTGGCGAGGGTCTCGGTGGTCTCAGGAAGTGAGCAAAGGTACTGCAAGTCCCATCATCCATCTCCAAAGTTTTCCAAATAACACCAGGACGTAAAGTGGGTCATGAGAGGTCTATGTGCCAAGTTTGGTGTTGATCCGTCATTGGATGAGCTTTGCAGAGGTCTCAGAATGTGAGTGAAGGTACTGGAAATTCCATCATCCATGGTCCACCCTTCTCCAAAACTGCAGCAGGATGTAGAGTGGGTCATGTGGGCTCTGTGTGCCAACTTTGGTCTTGATTGGTCATTAGATGAGTTTTGCAGCAGTCTTGGGTAGTGGAGGTACTTGAAGTCCTATCATCCATGGTCTGTCGTCCTCCAAACTGCTCCAGGATGTAGAGTGGGTCATTGAAGCTCCATGTGCCAAGTTTAGTCTTGATGAGTCATTGGCGAGGGTCTCAGTGGTCTCTGGAAGTGAGTGAAGTGACTGCAAGTCCCATCATCCATTGTCAAATTCTTCCAAACCGCACCAGGATGTAGAGTGAGTTATGCAGGCTCTCTGTGTAAATTGTGGTCCTGATCCATCATCGTTGGCAGTTGTAATGGTCTTAGGAAGGGAGTGCAGGTATTGCAAGTCCCATCGTCCCTGGTGCATCCTCCTTCAAACTGCACCTGGATGTAGAGTGCGTCATGGAGACTCAGTGTGCCAAGTTTGGTATTTTTTGGTAATTGGATGAGGGTTGCAGTGGTCTGAAGAATGAGCAATGGTACTGCAAGTCCCATAATCCACGGTCCATCCCCGGCCAAACCACACCAGGACGTAAAGTGGGTCATGAGAGGTCTCTGTGTGAAGTTTGGTCCTGATCAGTCATTGGATAAGGTTAACAGCGGTCTCAGAATGTGAGTGGTGGTACTGCAAGTCCCATCATCCATGGTTCATAGTCCTCCAAACTGCAGTAGGATGTAGAGTGGGTGATGGGGGCTCTGTGTGCCTATTTCGTCTGTATTGGTAGTTTTCTGACCCAGCCCCCTCTGGCCTTTTCCTTTCCTCTCTTTGTCATCTCGGAATCTTGGATTGAGGCTGGCCAATCAGAGACCATATGCAAATTTCCTTCTCATGTCCCCGTTTCTGCCATGAACTGTTTTCTCCACCAGGGGCTCCTATTGAAGCTGGCCAATCAGAGACCATATGCAAATAGCACCACTGCGGCAGCCAATCCGAATGTTGGAACTTTCAGGCTGGCCAATCAGAACGCTGGCACATACACCGCCCTTCCGCCCTCCACAATTCCTCTGTCCGATACAAACACTCTTCATTATTATATACTAGCTTGGGGACCTATGGGAAGGACAGAGGAAGTGTGGAGGGCGGAAGTGTATGTGGCAGCTTTCTGATTGGCTGCCACTGTGGTGCTATTTGCATATGGTCTCTGATTGGGCAGCTTCAACAGGAGCCCCTGGTGGAGAAGAGGGTTCATGACAGAAACGGGGACATGACAGAAGGAAATTTGCATATGGCCTCTGATTGGCCAGCCTCAAATGCAAGATTCCGAGATGACAAAGAGAGAAAAGGAAAAGGCCAAAAAGGGGCTGGGTCAGAACATTACCAATACAGACCAAAATTGGCACACAGAGCCCCCATCACCCACTCTACATCCTACTGCAGTTTGGGGGAGGATGAACCATGGATGATGGGACTTGCAGTACCACCACTCACATTCTGAGACCGCTGTTAACCTTATCCAATGACTGATCAGGACCAAACTTCGCACAGAGACCTCTCATGACCCACTTTACGTCCTGGTGTGGTTTTGCCAGGGATGGACCTTGGATTATGAGAATAGCAGTACCATTGCTCAATTCTTCAGACCACTGCAACCCTCATCCAATTACCAATAATTACCAAACTTGGCACACTGAGACTCCATGATGCACTCTACATCCAGGTGCAGTTTGAAGGAGGATGCACCATGGACGATGGGACTTCCAATACCTGCACTCCCTTCCTAAGATCATTACAACTGCCAACAATGATGGATCAGGACCACAATTTACACAGAGACCCAGCATGACCCACTCTACATCCTGGTGCCGTTTGGAAGAATTTGACAATGGATGATGGGACTTGCAGTCACTTCACTCACTTCCTGAGATCACAGAGAACCTCGCCAATGACTAATCAAGACTAAACTTGGCACATGGAGCTCCAATGACCCACTCTCCATCCTGGTGCAGTTTGGAGGACGACAGACCATGGATGATGGGACTTCAAGTACCTCCACTCCCCAAGACTGCTGCAAAACTCATCTAATGACCAATCAAGACCAAAGTTGGCACACAGAGCCCCCATGACCCACTCTACATCCTGCTGCAGTTTTTGAGGAGGGTTGACCATGGATGATGGAACTTCCAGTACCTTCACTCACATTCTGAGACCTCTGCAAACCTCATCCAATGACGGATCAAGACCAAACTTGGCACATAGACCTCTCATGACCCACTTTACGTCCTGGTGTTGTTTGGAAATTTGGAGATGGATGATGGGACTTGCAGTACCTTTGCTCACTTCCTGAGACCACTGAGACCCTCGCCAATGACTAATCAAGACTAAACTTGGCACATGGAGCTCCAATGACCCACTCTACATCCTGGTGCAGTTTGGAGGAGGACAGACCATGGATGATAGGACTTCAAGTGCCTCCACTCCCTTCCGAAGATTGCTGCAACCCTCTTCTAATGACCAATCAAGACCAAACTTGGCACACAGAGCCCCCATGATCCACTCTACATCCTGCTGCAGTTTGAAAGAGGATGGACTTTGGATTATGGGACTTGCAGTACCTTCACTCACTTACTGACACCACTGCCACCCTCATCTAATGACTGATAAAGACAAAACTTGGCACACAGAGCCCCCATGACCCACTCTATATCCTGCTGCTGTTTGTAGGAGGATGGGCCATGGATGATGGGACTTCAAGTACCTTCACTCACTTCCTAAAAATAATGCAGCCGTTATCCAAAGACCAATAAAGACCAAACTTGGCATACAGAACCGCCATTACCCACTTTCTCTAATAACCCGGGCAACGCCGGGTCCCCAAGCTAGTATATAATAAAGAAGAGTGTTTGTTTGTATGGGAAGGACAGAGGAAGTGTGGAGGGCGGAAGTGTATGTGGCAGCTTTCTGATTGGCTGCCACTGTGGTGCTATTTGCATATGGTCTCTGATTGGGCAGCTTCAACAGGAGCCCCTGGTGGAGAAGAGGGTTCATGACAGAAACGGGGACATGACAGAAGGAAATTTGCATATGGTCTCTGATTGGCCAGCCTCAAATCCAACATTCCGAGATGAAAAAGAGAGGAAAGGAAAGGCCGGCTGGGTCAGAACACTCACAACAGCTCGAAATAGGCACACAGAGCCCCCATCACCCACTCTACATCCTACTGCAGTTTGGAGGAGGATGAACCATGGATGATGGGACTTGCAGTACCACCACTCACATTCTGAGACCGCTGTTAACCTTATCCAATGACTGATCAGGACCAAACTTCACACATAGACCTCTCATGACCCACTTTACGTCCTGGTGTGGTTTGGCTGGGGATGGACCGTGGATTAAGGGACTTGCAGTACCATTGCTCATTCTTCAGACCACTGCAACCCTCATCCAATTACCAAAAATTACCAAACTTGGCACACTGAGTCTCCATGACCCACTCTACATCCAGGTGCAGTTTGAAGGAGGATGCACCATGGACGATGGGACTTGCAATAACTGCACTCCCTTCCTAAAACCATTATAACTGCCAACAATGATGGATCAGGACCACAATTTACACAGAGAGCCCGCATAACCCACTCTACATCCTGGTGCGGTTTGGAAGAATTTGGAGATGGATGATGGGACTTGCAGTCACTTCACTCACTTCCTGAGACCACTGAGACCCTTGCCAATGACTGATCAAGACCAAACTTGGCACAGAGAGTCCCCATGACCCACTCTACATCCTGGTGTACTTTCGAGGAGGACAGACCATGGATGATAGGACTTCAAGTACCTCCACTCTCTTCCCAAGACTGCTGCAACCCTCATCTAATGTCCGAACTCAACCAAACTTGGCACAAAGAGCCCCCATGACCTACTCTACATCCTACTGTGGTTTGGAGTAGGGCATACCATGGATGATGGGACTTGAAGTACCCCTACTTGCTTTCCGAGACTGCTGCGACCCTCAACAATGACTGAACAACACCAAACTTGGCACATAGACCTCTCATGACCCACTTTACGCTATGGTGTGGTTTGACTGTGGATCGAGCATGGATTATGGGACTTGCAGTATCTTCGCTCAATTCCTGAGACCACTGCAACCATCATCCAATTTCCGATAAGGACCAAACTTGGCACACCGGGTCTCCATGATGCACTCTACATCCTGGTGCGGTTTGGAGGATGATGCACCATGGACGATGGGACTTGCAGTTCCTTCACTCATTTAGTGAAACTACTGAGACCCTCATCCAATGACTGATGAAGACCAAACTTGGCACACAGAACCCCTATTACCCACTTTCTCTAATAACCCGGGCAACGCCGGGTCCCCAAGCTAGTTATATATATAGATGGCTTTCACTGCATGCCCCACTATCTGTTTTTTTTCCAGATGAAGTGGCTGTGGTGGATGAAATTCAGATGATTAAAGATCCTTCTCGAGGTTGGGCCTGGACACGAGCTCTCCTGGGTATGTCTTTTAAGTGTTTGCTATTTCTAAAACATCTTATCTAAAGACACAGGCTTGTATGGCTTCCCTTAAATGTGTACTACGTAGCTGTTCTATTATACTGATATGAATATGCGAAGTATTAATTTTCTCTGAAACTCCAGTCACTATGCACCACTTTGAAAGGAATTATGTTAATTATAGGTTTTTGTTGGACAACAGTTGCAGGACAGTGCTAGTTATGTCAAGATTGTGTTTTATTACATTTATGTTGCAGGTGAATTGCTTTGAAATTCTTTTTTTTCCTGTATGTATGGATATATTCAGGACTATGTGCAGAAGAAATCCATGTTTGCGGTGAAGCTGCTGCTATTAATTTGGTGACGGAACTCATGTATACTACAGGGGAGGAGGTGGAGGTATGTTTCACAACTTTACTTTTATATGTGCATCTTCCAGCTGCCTTTTATTTAAAATAGTCATGAGTTCCTGTTTGTTAAAATCACTATTTTTATATTAGGAGTTATTTTTTTAAGGTCTAACCTCTCCAAATTGTGTTTTATTTGCTATAGCTATATTACATGTAACTAGTGGTTTTTTGTAGCATAGATATATTACATGTAACTAGTGCTGGTTTTTTTGTAGTGGCAGCCCCCTAATTTGTACTCTAAGCTATAGCTATATTACATGTAAGTAGTGTTTTTATTAGCATAGCTATATTACATGTAGCTAGTGTTTTGGTTTTTTTTTTAGCCCCCTAATTTGTACTCTAAGTGTAGTGGCAGCCCCCTAATTTGTACACTAAGCTATAGCTATATTACATGTAACTAGTGTTTTTATTAACATAGCTATATTACATGTAACTAGTGGGTTTTTTGTAGGGGCAGCCCCCTAATTTGTACACTAAGCTATAGCTATATTACATGTAACTAGTATTTTTATTAGCATAAGTATATTACATGTAACTAGTGTTTTTATTAGCATAGCTATATTACATGTAACTAATGTTTTGTTTTTTGTTGTTGTAGTGGCAGCCCCCTAATTTGTACTCTAAACTATAGCTATATTACATGTAACTAGTATTTTATTAGCATAACTATATTATATGTAGCTAGTGGGTTTTTTTTTGTAGAGGCAGCCCCCTAATTTGTACTCTAAGTGTAGTGGCAGCCCCCTAATTTGTACACTAAGGTATAGCTATATTACATGTAACTAATGTTTTCTTTTTTGTTGTTGTAGTGGCAGCCCCCTAATTTGTATTCTAAACTATAACTATATTACATGTAACTAGTATTTTATTAGCATAACTATATTACATGTAGCTAGTGGGTTTTTTTTGTAGAGGCAGACCCCTAATTTGTACTCTAAGTGTAGTGGCAGCCCCCTAATTTGTACACTAAGCTATAGCTATATTACATGTAACTAATGTTTTGGGTTTTTTTGTAGTGGCAGCCCCCTAATTTGTACTCTAAGCTATAGCTATATTACATGTAACTAGTATTTTTATTAGCATAACTATATTACATGTAGCTAGTGGGTTTTTTTGTAGTGGCAGCCCCCTAATTTGTATACTAAGCTATAGCTCTATTACATGTAACTAGTGTTTTTTGTAGTGGCAGCCCCCTAATTTGTACTCTAAATTCCCTTCTGGATTAGGGGGGGGGGGAACTTATCATGTCCAATATACAGCTTTTGGGGATGCAGGTATGTTGCCCTCATAGAACCATCATTGTGTAGTGATCTGAGCATTTTACTATGACTCTGGAGGCCAGGATTTGAATCTCCATTTTGCTATAAAGAACCTCTGCGTGGGACAATAATAATGATAATAAACTTTATTTATACCCCACCACCATCTCCCCAGTGGGGACTCGGGGCGGCTTACATGAGGCCAAGCCCAGACAAGATATTACAGCAAAATAAAACCAAAAGCATAAGCAACAAACAACAGCATCATATTTACATATAAACATATAAATACGATAATAATATAACATTACAATAAACACAATCACAGTAACATTCTCTCAGCTTCAGAGGAAGGAAAAGAAAAACCCATGTAAACAAATTTTGTCAAGAAAACTCAGTGATAGGTGTAACAACTTGAAAACACCCTGCTGGGAGCTCTCTGGGAAGCTCTGGGTCAGAATATGAAGATACTTGACCTTTATGCCAGATCTCTTTTCCAGGTTGACCCTGCAATCCCAGCCCTTGGACTTCCTGTCACTCACCCTGCCCTTTCCTCCTGTGGATGGGCTTCCTTGTGGTGGGCGTGACCTGATTAACAGGCTGTAATTAGACAGCCAGAGGCAGTTATAAAAACCACATAAAAGTTTATTAAACAAGAGACAACCTGTTGACCCCTGAACATTCTGTTTATTCACAGGTCCCCAAAACCAGAGTCTTATCTCTGACTGACTATCCTGTTACAGCATTCATTATTTCTGTTTGAAATCCAACCCGTTCTCTGTGTCAGCTTTTTCCTGTCTGGCCTCTGACAGAGACAAGTGTCTATTTTGTAATATTTCTTCCGCACATCAACCACCTCTCCCTCCATATCACAGACTTCACTGCACTGCGGAATTTGGCTTCAGTTGGTTCCTGCTTCCTGAAAAACTTTGAAAACAAAAGACCATTGCACTTATTTCCTTCCTGTATTTGCTTTATCTAGATCACATGGTTCTAGAACCATGTGATCTAGATAAAGTACATACAGTAAAATAATTGGATGTCTTGACTAGGGGGAAGCACTTCAGTTAGGGTGCTTTGTTTCCAGGATGTGGAAAAGTTACTATTTTGGCTGTTCTGGCTAGATGATCCTGAATTGTGATCCAAAAAAATGGGATGTTTGCCACACTCTGTTTTTTGGGGTTTTTTTTGTTTTGTTTTTTGGTGTTTGTGGCCCCTCTGGCTCTGGAACTCGCTACCTGGTGAGATTAGGCAAGCCCCACCCTAGCAACCTTTAAGAAAGATCTAAAAACTTGGCTTTTCCAATGTGCTTTCTGAGAGTGACCATTCAACTCATTTTGTTTGTTTTCATCTACTTTTCCCCTTTCCTTAATTAAGGCCAAACCCTACTGCTCCCTCTTCTTGGGCTCCTCCCTCACAAATATACTTTTAATACACTTTTTTATTCCTATCTCACCCAGGGTTTTAACATTTTATCTCGTGCATTTGACCCGCCCTTTGTGTTTGATTTTTATTACGTTATTTTGCACTGTTTATTTTATTCTGTTATTTTATTATTTTGTTGTGATGTAATTTTTCTGTTGTTTTGTGTCTAACTTTGCTGTATTATTTTTGGGCTTGCCTCAAGCTGCCGCCGAGTCCCCTTTGGGGAGATGTGGCGGGGTATAAATAATATTAATTATTATTATTATTATTATATTATTATTATTAATGTATTACAGTTTGTACTAGTTATTTTAGTCTTTGTTGGAGAAATTGAGTGTTCGCCCTGTTTGGGCTGAAAAAGCGGTATAGAAATAAAGCAAATAAATAAATTAAAAACATTTCTTCTCCTGACATTTCGCCTGCATCTATGGCAAGCATCCTCAGAGGTAGTGCTTGCATAGATGCAGGCGAAACGTCAGGAGAGAATGCCTCTAGAACATGCCATATAGCCTGAAAAAACCTACAACAACCCAGTGAAATACTCATTTGAGATTATTATTATTATTATTATTAGTCTGTGACCATGATTAGAAAGTCAGTTATTGCAAAGTCTGTATATGACCTCCCTGCCTTCGTCTGTTTGGGAAGCTGTGTTTAAAATCCAGGGGACTTTCAGACTTTGGTATAGGAAGCAGACATTATTTCACACATTCAAGGCCTTGTTGTGCCAATATGGCTTCTTAGATGCTCTCAAAGATTTCTTTGTTGATGACAGTTGTGTTACAATTGCTGTCTGTCTCTAGGTGAGAAACTACAAGAGACTGACCCCTATCAAGGTGCTGGATGAAGCACTCCAATCACTAGATAAGCTTTGCCCTGGAGACTGCATTGTCTGTTTCAATAAGAATGATATTTATTCAGTGAGTCGGCAGATTGAAGCACGGGGCCTGGAATGTGCCGTCATTTATGGAAGTCTGCCCCCTGGTAAATACTCTCAAATACATTTGGAGGAGTTCATGGGGGGGGGGGGTGGGGGTGGGGGTCCTGTGATGCCCGGCTATCAACTGCTGAAGTAAGTGACTGTTACAGTGAGGATTCATTACCAAGATCTGACATGAATACGCAAAACACAGACTATTGTTTCTCCTATTATTAATTAGGTTTTTAAATCTTTGTGTGTTATTGTTTATATGTGATTTATATTGATTGTATTGTTTTTGTTTATTGCTTTCTTGTTTTATTGATGTGTTGTCAAGCTTGGCCTCATGTAAGCCGCTCCGAGTCCCTTGGGGAGATGGTATAAATAAATAAAGTTGAAAGATGGGCCAAAACTAACAAAATGAAGTTCAACAGTGACAAATGCAAGATACTCCACTTAGGCAGAAAAAAACGAAATGCAAAGATACAGAATGGGGGACAGTGCCTGGCTCGAGAGCAGTACGTGTGAAAAAGATCTTGGAGTCCTCGTGGACAACAAGTTAAACATGAGCCAACAATGTGATGTGGCGGCAAAAAAAGCCAATGGGATTTTGGCCTGCATCAATAGGAGCATAGTGTTTAGATCTAGGGAAGTAATGCTACCCCTCTATTCCGCTTTGGTTAGACCACACCTGGAATATTGTGTCCAATTCTGGGCACCACAATTCAAGAGAGATATTGACAAGCTGGAATGTGTCCAGAGGAGGGCGACTAAAATGATCAAGGGTCTGGAGAACAAGCCCTATGAGGAGTGGCTTAAGGAGCTGGGCATGTCTAGCCTGAAGAAGAGAAGGCTGAGAGGAGATATGATAGCCATGTATAAATATGTGAGAGGAAGCCACAGGGAGGAGGGAGCAAGCTTGTTTACTGCTTCCATGGAGATTAGGACAAAGAACAATGGCTTCAAACTACAAGAAAGGAGATTCCATCTGAACATGAGGAAGAACTTCCTGACTGTGAGAGCCGTTCAGCAGTGGAACTCTCTGCCCCGGAGTGTGGTGGAGGCTCCTTCTTTGGAAGCTTTTAAACAGAGGCTGGATGGACCATCTGTCAGGGGTGATCTGAATGCAATATTCCTGCTTCTTGGCAGGGGGTTGGACTGGATGGCCCATGAGGTCTCTTCCAACTCTTTGATTTATGATATTATTATTATTATTATTATTATTATTATTGGTCATGTGAATGTTCATCACCTCAGTTGACTAATATGGGATGTAACCATTCATGGTCACTAGAAATCATAGATTCGGATGCTGCAGACTGAGAGGGACCTCTGTATATCCTTGGTTTTTAGCTATTGAATTAGTATTCAATAAACTGCTGCGACTACTATATTAACATTCCCTGTGATTTGGTCTTGGATTAGGTATCTATCTGTCTTGTCATGTCTTGTGAAAAACAACTTTTAAATCTGTTTTGTTCACTTAATTCATAATAGGGCAGTGGTTCTCAGCCTGTGCGTCCCCAGATGTTTTGGCCTTCAACTCCCATAAACATCAAACACCCAGTCATCCCCCGGACAACATCCTTGCAGCATGGGTTTCTGGGAGTTGTAGGCCAAAACACCTGGGGACCCACAGGTTGAGAACCATTGTAATAGGAAGCTACTTGATTATCTAACCTGAATAGTGGAGATATGTAGCCAAACCACATTAGTATCATTGAATGATGTGGAAGTCACTCTACATATGGTGTTGTGTCTAAGTTTGTATTTCCTGAGAGAGTACTTTATGGTTTTTTGTTTGCACATCTTAAAGTATTGTGAGCAGTGTGAGAGAATACAGGTGTTTAAGATAGAAAGACAGCAGGAATATTAATCTAGGCAGCTGTTCACTTTTTGTGAATAGCTTACACACAGAGAGAAGTTATCTAATCTAACCCCTGCTGAAATTAGTATCCCTTATTGGAGGGAATCTGCTCTCAGAAACCTTTCACAAAGGAGAGTAGCTTCAAAGACAACCTGTGATAAGAGGAAGTTTTTCCTCATGTTTATTCAATTCCTTTTTCCTTGGAGTTTGTCCTAGAAATAGAGATATTGTGTGGATTTGCAAGTCCAAGTAAGAAAGTATATACATGGCCTCTGTAGCATTTTCTTAACCTTCTGCTGTAATGGGAAATTTGTTTGATGATATAGTACAATCCGCATATCCATGGAGGATACATTCCAAGACCTTCAATGGGTACCTGAAATAGTGAGTCCAATATTTTGACTACAGTATATTCTGGCGTATAAGACTACTTTTTAACCCAAGAAAATCTTCTCAAAAGTCAGGGGTCGTCTTATACACGGGTGTAGTCTTATGCATGGGAGTCGTCTTAACTCTATATTTTAACTGGAAAAGTTGGGGGTCGTCTTATACGCCCAGTCGTCTTATATGCCGGAATATACGGTACTTGGTTTGAAAGCATACCATCGAGTTGCACTGGAGGATCTAGACAGGTACACAGACACTTCTGGGGGAATATTTTCTGGAATATGGATAAATAAAACTGTGGCCATCAAATCCATATACAAAAGAGTTGTACTGTAAATGGACAACTCCATATTGTCCATGTTACCAAAGGAATCTCAGTGGACCGTCTTTCGTGTGTGTGTGTGTGTGTGTGTGTGTTAGGAGTGATTTGAGAAACTGCAAGTCACTTCTGATGCAAGAAACTGCAAGGAGCCCCTGGTAGTGCAATGGGTTAAACCCTTGTGCTAGCAGGACTGCTCACTGACAGGTCAGAGGTTTGAATCTGGGGAAGGACGGATGAGCTCCCTCTGTCAGCTCCAGCTCGCCATGCGGGGACATGAGAGAAGCCTCCCGCAAAGATGGTAAAACATCAAACACCCAGTCATCCCCTGGGCAACATCCTTGCAGATGGCCAATTCTGTCACACCAGAAACAAAGAGAAGAAGTGAGCCATTGATGTGCCTGGTCTTTAGCAGTTCTTGAGTCTATATTTATGCAGTCCACTGGAAAATGCCACTGTGGATGGGAACGAAAAATGTTGTGATTCTTACATTTCAAGCCAATATAAAACCAGAGAATAGAATTGTATCTATATTTGGGAGACAGTCTGTTTTTGTGGTTATTTCAGGTACAAAACTTACCCAGGCAAAGAAGTTCAATGATCCTGATGATCCATGTAAAATCATGGTTGCTACAGATGCAATTGGGATGGGCCTCAATTTGTAAGTATGCATGTTATATCTCATTGAGGTGCAGGTGATGGTGGTCCTTAGCTCTTTCAGATTCTTTTTCTAAATGGTGTGCCTCCCATGAGCCAGTGCAGTGTACTGGGTTGAGTTTTGGGCTGGGACTTTTGGAAGCCAGAGTTTAACTCCCCTCTTTGCCATGAAACATGCCCACTGGGTAAACTTGGGCAGCTCACATTCTCTCAGTGACCTTGCCAAGAAAACCCTATGATGGGTTCACCTTAGGATTACCAAAAGTTGGTAATGATTTAAATGCACACAAATGCATGCACTGATTTTTAGTTATTTAAAATAAATATTTAAGATTCGATGTGTTTTTAGAAATGAAACAGCTTCAAGCTTCTTAAATTTCATTTACAGTACTTTTTTTAGATTTCAAAACATGTGCCTCTTTTAAGAGCCAAGTGCAAGTGATGCAAATACTTCTAGGTTGGTAAACTACAACTGTTCAAATAGTCTGCCTTCATGCTTGGTCTTTCACTCTTTATGTCCTTCAAACTCTGTGGAAGATCAAATACCATTAGGCTTGTATTGTTGACTCTTGTAATTGAAACAAAACAATGAGCAACAAGGTTGTTTTTAACACATTGCCTCCAAGTTTTAGTTGTTAACAGCTTATGTTCATCACTTGAGAATGTCTAGAGAGCTTTCAGTATTGGGTATCTAGCAACTTTCCGACCTATATTTAGACTTCTAATTGTGTTTTGGGCTGGCATGAGTAGGGTCTTCTGAAGGAGCTGTGATCTGGTGTAATATAGGTAGCAGTTTTCTCTGTCTTCAATCCATCATCTGTACTTTTGTTCTAGGAGCATTAAAAGGATCATTTTTAACTCCTTGGTCAAGCCCACTGTGAATGAGAAGGGTGAAAAAGAAATGGATACAATTACAACTTCCCAAGCACTACAAATTTCAGGCCGAGCTGGAAGGTTTAGCACTGTTTTCAAAGAGGGGGAAGTTACTACTATGCACCGAGATGACCTTCCCTTGCTGAAGGAAATCTTGAGTAAATCGGTGGATCCCATACTGGTAGGATCTTAAATATTATAAACTTGATGCTAGAGCTGTGTTAGATCACATTAACCTGAGTTAGGTAACACCTTCTACTACAAAGGTGGGCCACTTTGGCCTTCCAGATGTTGTGGACTTAAATTCGTATCATCCCTCGTTATTAGGTATTCTGCCTAGGGCTCTACTGATTGGCCCAGCTATTTATCTAGGACAGAGTTGTCTCCTTCAACTGACAGCAGTTTTCCTGGGTCTCAGGCTTCGGGGTTTTCCATTTCTGCCTGCTGGAGATGTCAGAGCCTGAACTTGGGAAGTTCTGCAAGCAGGAGAGGTGATCTACTACTAAGTCACAGTCTGACATTGCAGATATGCAATTAGATACGTGGGGTTGCCTTTGAAGACTGCTTGGAAGATTCAAATAGTCCAACGAGAGGCAGCCAGATTAATAACTGGGGCGGCATACAGGGAGCATACAACTCCCATGTTACGCCAGCTCCACTAGCTGCCAGTTTGCTACGGGGCACAATTCAAAGTGCTGGCTACCTGTCCAAACACATCTCCCCCTATGAACCATCGCGGTGATTAAGATCCTCCGGGGAGGCCCTGCTTTCCGTCCTGCCATTCCGTCCAGTGATTTCCCCCCCCCCCCCCCGGCTATGGAACTCCCTTCCTGGTGAGATCAGATCGGCCCCCTCCCTCCTGTCCTTCAGAAGGATGGTAAAAACTTGGCTGTGGGACCAAGCTTTCAGGACCAGGCAATCAAGCAGCAATAGGAAAGATTACCAGTCCAATTAGATTTGACGCTGATGACTAGGATGGTTCTAAATGGTGTATTTTAATATTGAGATAAATGTTTTTAATGTTTATGTACGTGTATGTGATTTTGTGTCGCAGCATTGAATGTTTGCCATATATATATGCTGTGCTCCACCCTGAGTCCCCTTCAGGGTGAGAAGGGTGGAATATAAATGTTTTAAATAAATAAATAAATAAACAAATATGTATTTTGAATAGCCTTGGTGATTGGGGCACTCATCAAGCCCTGCTGACCTCCACAACTAAAAAAAAATACATCCCTGACCATCTGCTATAGTGTTGAAGGCTGGGTATTATAGCCTAGGCCAGGCCCACACAACCTCCAGGTGTCCAGATGTTTTGGACTTCATCCTCCAGAATTTCTGACCATTGGGCAAGCTGGTTAGGGCTTCTGGGAGTTGGAGTCCCAAATACCTGGGAGGCCACAGGTGGCGGGCCTGATCTAGGCCCTAGATTCTAGGGCACCTGAGGCATCAAACTGGAAAAGACTGTTCCATATGTTGGCTTGCTAGTAGAGAAAGCTTGCATGCTGGTCGCTTCTGTAAGCTTTCTCTACTAGCAAGCCAACATATGGAATTCTACAAAGTGGAATCCTCAATATGCGAGTGTGGAGAGGAGCAAACCACTGACCACCTGCTGCAATGCAACCTGAGCCCTGCCACATGCACAATGGAGGACCTTCTCGCAGCAACACCAGAAGCACTCCAAGTGGCCAGATACTGGTCAAAGGACATTTAATCAACTACCAAACTCACAAATTTTGTATTTTTTGTTTGCTTTGTTCTGTTAGAAATGTAATATAATTTGACTGGTTGTTCTGACACGACAAATAAATAAATAGTAGAGAAAGCTGCTAGATTAATTTTGTTTGTCAGAAATTTAGAATATTTGTGGAACATACATTAGCAGTTTCAATGAGCTGAATATAAGGACTTTGCCCAATAAAAGTTATCCTTGCTGCTTATTTCCTATCAAGCAGTCAAGTTCGTAAACATAGAATACAGTCTTCAAGCTGGTTCTCTTGATAATTACACTCATCTTGGTGGCTGTAAATGTTATATATGTTGTGAGCATGTGGATCACATTCTTTCCAGCATGTTTGGGTTATATTTTCTCATGCTTATACATATTTATTTATTTACTGCATTTATATACCATCCCTCAGCTCGCAGGCGACTCGGGACGGTTTAAAAGATTGTAATTGTGGTGTAAAATTGAACATTCTTCTTCTCTTCCCAGACTGCAGGTTTGCATCCCACTGCTGAGCAGATTGAAATGTTTGCATATCACCTTCCTGATGCCACCCTCTCAAATCTAATTGTAAGAATCAGAAAGGCGGTTGAACTTTTTCAGTGTACAATAGTTCACATATTGCATTCCTCTAGGGAGGTCACACTATTCTCACAAACATCTGTTTTATGTAGATATAATCTGCACAAATAACATTTGCAGTTTTTCTTTCTGTAGCTGATAAGCGGTAGAGCTTTTGAAAGTTCTGAGGGCTTGATTGATTGGCTGAGCTGGCAAGGAAAATGCTAGCCCTAGTTTTCTTCTGTGTAAATTATTATTTTGAATCATACACAGTAAGCTCTCCGTATTCTTGGATTCTGCTTCCAGGAATTTCACCATACATAGCTTGAAAATATTCCAAAATATCCTCCTCCAAAAAGCAGCTTGTCATTTTGCCGTTTTATAAAAAGGACATCATTTTACTATACCATTGTATGTAAAAAGGATGTTACTGTCCACAAAAGATCCTAGAATCAAATCCCAGCAAATAACAAGAGCTCGCTGTACTATGTTTGGAATAGTTAAATATATGTTGCCTATATTTTTATCTTTTTACTTAGAACAGGAATGGGCAGGCCTTGTGCATTACAAACTAGATTATGACTCTCAAGAAGGCTGAGAGGAGATATCATGAGGGCCATGTATAAATATGTGAGGGGAAGCCTTAGGGAGGAGTGAGCAGGCTTGTTTTCTGCTGCCCTGGAGACTAGGACGTGGAACAATGGCTTCAAACTACAGGAAAGGAGATTCCACCTGAACATTAGGAAGAACTTCCTAACTGTGAGAGCTGTTCAGCAGTGGAACTCTCTCTCAGCCCCAGAGTGTGGTGGAGGCTCCTTCTTTGTAGGCTTTTAAACAGAGGCTGGATGGCCATCTGTCAGGGGTGCTTTTAATGTGATTTTCCTGCTTCTTGGCAGGGGGTTGGACTGGATGGCCCATGAGGTCTCTTCCAACTCTATGATTCTATAAGTCTGTGCAATTGAAATGCATCAGCAAAGTGGTAAAAGGCCTTTAAAATAAGCAAACGAGAACTTTTTTGCAAAGTCTTTTCATGAATTGCTGACAGGTTTTGGAGTCAAATTGTCCAAAACAGGAGCAAACTTTCTTGTGATCCTTTAAAACAAGAATGCCTTGATTGCTTTAAAACACTAGAATCATAGAATCAAAGAGTTGGAAGAGACCTCATGGGCCATCCAGTCCAACCCCCTGCCAAGAAGCAGGAATATTGCATTCAAATCACCCCTGACAGATGGCCATCCAGCCTCTGTTTAAAAGCTTCCAAAGAAGGAGCCTCCACCACACTCCGGGTCAGAGAGTTCCACTGCTGAATGGCTCTCACAGTCAGGAAGTTCTTCCTCATTTCTTGTAGTTTGAAGCCATTGTTCCTTGTCCTAATCTCCATGGAAGCAGTAAACAAGCTTGCTCCCTCCTCCCTGTGGCTTCCTCTCACATATTTATACATGGCTATCATATCGCCTCTCATCCTTCTCTTCTTCAGGCTAAACATGCCCAGCTCCTTAAGCCACTCCTCATAGGGCTTGTTCTCCAGACCCTTGATCATTTTAGTCGCCCTCCTCTGGACACATTCCAGCTTGTCAATATCTCTCTTGAATTGTGGTGCCCAGAATTGGACACAATATTCCAGGTGTGGTCTAACCAAAGCAGAATAGAGGGGTAGCATTACTTCCCTAGACCTAGACACTATGCTCCTATTGATGCAGGCCAAAATCCCATTGGCTTTTTTTGCCGCCACATCACATTGTTGGCTCATGTTTAACTTGTTGTCCACGAGGACTCCAAGATCTTTTTCACACGTACTGCTCTCGAGCCAGGCACTGTCCCCCATTCTGTATCTTTGCATTTCGTTTTTTTCTGCCTAAGTGGAGTATCTTGCATTTGTTACTGTTGAACTTCATTTTGTTAGTTTTGGCCCATCTTTCAACTTTATTTATTTATACCATCTCCCCAAGGGACTCGGAGCGGCTTACTTTTTTGGTTTGCTGTTAAAATTCAGTGACGCAATTAACTGTCATATTTGGCAGTGCAGCAGGGAAGATGGACTGTGGAGACATTTTCAGATTTGCTAGGCACACATTGTGAAATTTGTTGGAAATTTACTTGCATTGAACACACAACTTGTATATAATTGGAAACACAGCCTGGGTGATATATTTAATAAAGAATATTTGTCTTTTAAAAATAGGATATTTTTGTAAGTCTCTCCCAAGTTGATGGCCTCTACTTTGTGTGCAATGTTGATGACTTCAAATTTCTTGCTGACATGATCCAGCACATTCCCCTGAACCTGAGAGCTCGGTACGTGTTCTGCACAGCACCCATCAATAAAAAGCAGCCCTATGTGTGCACCTCGCTCTTAAAGGTAAAGAACCCACATCTCCATTATGATCCCTGAAATGTATTTGTGTGTCTGAATCTGTGTAGGTTTGGGGAATCGGTTGTGATGTTTTTACTGTACTTATATTTTAATCTGTAATGATGATGCACTGTGTTGTTTTTGTATATTATTGTATTTGAACACATTTTGTGAAACCAGCCTGAGTCCCCCGTTCGAGGTGAGAAGACCGATATATAAAACTTCTAAATAAATAAAAATAAATAAATTGTGTTGTATTCTAGGGGCTCACCTCTATTTCCCGTGCAGTGGGGGGATATAAGCGAAGATCTTTTCTGCTGTCGAAAAATACCCTCCCATTAGATGCCTGATCAGCATGAGCACTGGCCTGCTCATGCTGATTTGAGGCCTGATTTCATCCAAATTTGCACATGTTTATTTATTTATTTATTTATTTACGACATTTATATGCCACCCTTCTCACCCCGAAGGGGACACAGAGCAGCTTACAATATATATATACATACAATATATTATATTATTAGCATAGTAAGATATCAGTATTAAATATTATACCATTATATTGTAATATTACATGTAATATAAACATATAATTATAATATCATATTATTAGTAGTAGTATTATATTGCATTACATTATAATATTATAAATATATGTATATACAATATATTATATTATATTATATTATATTATATTATATTATATTATATTATATTATATTATATTATATTACATTATTAACATAGCATAGGAGACAAGGTGGAATTGTCTTCTGCCCCCCCCCCCCCCTTTACTCTGGCCCAGAGTGGCAGTTGATGCTGTGGGAGGGGTCCCCAACGAATGACATAAGACATGTATGGCTTAAATTTGTCTTCTAATGAGTTTTAAATTGTTTTAGCTTGTCATCTTACTTGATATTCCTTTGATCTATTGTTATTATTGATAGTATTCTAAAATATTTTACACCGTTCAAATGTTTTTTTGTATGCTGAAGCAAGATATAAATATTCAAATGAATCAATAGCACTTCCTGTCCCTAGCTGGGCGAGAGATTTGGTATGATCCTTGTGCCTAATGAGGACAGAAATTCCTGGGGAGATCATAGGACTTTGACCTTCCCTCCCTCTCATCTTTGCAGAGCAGCCAAAACTAAAGGGAAGTGGATGGTTGGCCAAAGGCCAGCTCTGTTAATCAATCAGTTTGGCTATTGTTTGAGAGTCCCAGATAAAGCCCTGCTAATGAGGTTTAAGGAGTGTAGGCGTCTCATTCAGTAGCTGAGTTCCAGATTATGGGACATTTTGAGGAAGACTTTTCCTCTATATCTCTATTTTACTCGACATTTTGCTGGAGGGTAAAAAAGGAAGATTATTTCATTCCGATGATGATGATGATGATGAAACTGCTTCAAGTGCAAAAGACAAAGAGTAAATACCGTAAAACACAATGCAGAGCAGAAGAGAAAACTGGCAAAAGAAGGCTCTCCATGGACAGTTCCTGGGAAAAATTGAGAGCCAAATTGACAAAGAAAAAACATGGCTGTGGCTCACAAATGGAACTTTGAAAAAGGAGACGGGGGGCCTGATTCTGGCAGCCCAAGAACAAGCCATTAGAACTAATGCCATCAAAGCCAGAATTGAAAAGTCAACGACAGATCCCAGATGTAGACTCTGCAAGGAAGCAGATGAAACAATAGATCACATCCTCAGCTGCTGCAAGAAGATCACGCAGACAGACTACAAGCAGAGGCATAACACCATTGCTCAGATGATTCATTGGAACTTGTGCCACAAATACCATCAGCCTGCGACAAAAAACTGGTGGGATCACAAGCCGAAAAAAGTTACAGAGAATGAACACGTCAAGCTACTCTGGGACTTCCGGATTCAGAGAGACAGAGTTTTGGAGCACAATACTCCTGACCTCACAATTGTGTTAAAACACAAAGTATGGATTGTCGATGTAGCAATCCCAGGTGACAGCAGGATTGAAGAGAAACAACTGGAAAAGCTGACACAGATATGAGGATTTAAAGATCGAACTGCAAAGACTCTGGCACAAGCCAGTAAAGGTGGTCCCAGTGGTGATCGGCACACTGGGTGCAGTGCCTAAAGATCTTGGCCTGCACTTAAACACAATCAGCGCTGACAAAATTACCATCTGCCAGCTGCAGAAGGCCACCTTACTGGGATCTGCACACATTATTTGCCGATACATCACACAGTCCTAGACACTTGGGAAGTGTCCGATGTGTGATCCAATACAACAGCCAGCAGAGTGTCTGCTGTGGACTCATCTTGTTGTGTTTCAAATAATAATACTTTATTTCTATACCACCCTATCTCTTCAAGCGGACTCAGGGTGGTTAACAACATGTAACAGCACACATTCAATGCCGTAAAATGTAAACAACAAACAAATAAAACTTATATCGATGGGAAAATAGAATTTTAAAAATTCATAAATACTAATAATTAAATAAACATAATTACACAAACACATATACCCAAAAAATTAGGGGCTAAAATAGATTTAAAAGTGCCTTAAAATACTACAACTTTCCTTTGTTCTGACTCATTTTCTTTCCAGCTCTCAAAAGGAGAACCTTGCGATATTTTGCTGTATGTCCATGTTTTTAAATAAATAAATGTGTTGCTTGTTGCAGCATCTCCTCTTCTTGATTGAATTTTGAAGCATTGTGAACTCTTATAAATTGCTGAAATTGCTTTACTACCTGAGCTTGGGAAGCAGGAAAAAGGTTGCAAAACATAGTGGACAGTGTGGAGATTAACAGTAGTATCATTCCTGGAGAAATGTTAATTGCTTAACATGTTTCTTTACTTTCTAGTTTGCCCGGCAGTTCAGCAGAAATGAGCCTCTGACATTTGACTGGCTGTGCAGGCATATTCATTGGCCCCTGACCCCACCCAGGAACATAAAGGACCTTGTACATCTAGAAGCAGTTCATGACGTCCTCGATCTCTATCTTTGGCTGAGGTATCAGAGCCACATTTCTTCTTCCTTCTTGTCTTAACATGGAGAGATTAGGAACAATGGATTCTTCTGCTTTTAGCAGCACTTTGATAGCACGGTGCAGAGATGGTGGCACATATGTGGGGACTTTTGGGATCTGTCTCTTCTTTTCCTCTGTTCCAGTTGTTCCTCTCTGGTTCACCATGACAATCACGCATGAAATCATTAATCAAGCCTTTAACAAACTGAGTGAAATTATGTTTTGGGGACAGATCTTGCCGATGACTGGAAACATTCGTCCAATAATATCCAGGGTCTTCATAGGCCCAGTTCAGATAAATGTGAGATCGTAAGCTGTTGAGTACCGTATTTTCAGGTGTACTAGATGACTTTTTAGGCCTGGAAAATCTTATGAAAAATCAGGGTTTATACGGCGGGTATAAAATTTAAATAATAATAATTAAAAGAAAAAAATAACATGCAAGTACCTTAGGGAGAGGGAGGAGGGAGGAGGAAGACAGAGGGAAGGCATGGGGAAGAGGAGCGGCAGGCCGTATTGTCCCCGTGGCCCCCGCCACTCTCCCTGCTCTACTTTCATGGCCCTCCTGTGCCCCCCGATGCTCACCTCCTACAAAGGCCACTGGGCTGGTCTAGCCCCAAGGAAGCGCCTTCGGACGACTTCCAGCGGCCCTGGCGGCAGCGTGCCTGGGATGCGCTCACTAAGGCATTCTGGGAGCCGTAGTTTCCTGACTCCTACGGCTCTAAGAATGCCTCAGCGAGTACATCCCAGCAGCCCCGGGCGGTAATGTGCCTGGGATGTGCTCGCTGAGGTATTCTGAGAGCCGTAGGAGTCAGGGAACTACGGCTTCCAGAATGCCTCAGTGAACATATCCCAGGCACGCTGCTGCCGGGGCTGCAGAAGTAGTTGTCTGAGAGTTGTAGGAGTCTCCAGGGCTGTTGGGAGTCATCCAAAGGTGCTTCCTTGCACCTTCAGACGACAATTCCCTGCAGTCCCGGCAGCAGCGTGACTGGGATGTGCTCACAGGCATTCTGGGAGCTGTAGTTCTCTGACTCCTACGGCTCCCAGAATGCTTCAGCAAGCACATCCCACGTACTGCCCGGGGCTGCTGGGAGTTGTCGTCCGGAGGTGCAAGGCAGTGCCTTCGGACAGTGACTCCCTGCCGCCCCAGCAACAGTGTGCCTGGGATGTGCTTACAGGCATTCTGGGAGCTGTAGTTCCCTGACTCCTGATTAGCTGTATTCGCCACGCATTGCTGTGGCTAACCTTCCCTCCCTCTTTCTCTTCTTTCTTTCTCTTCATTCTTTCTCTACTTCCTTTCCTCCTCTTTCTTTCCTTCCTTCCTTCCTTCCTTCCTTCCTTCCTTCTTTCTCTTCCTTCCTTTCTTTCTTTTTTCCTTTCTTTCTCTCTCTCCTTCCTTCTCTCTCTTCCTTCCTTCCTTCTTCCCTTCCTCCCCCTTTTCTTCCCCTTCTCCTTTCTCCCTTTTCCTTCTCTACCTATTCTTGGACTGCAACTCCCAGCAGTCCTCCTGATCGATCTACCTCCCAACCTATCTATATCTAATCTATCTATCTGGAGGATTGCTGGGAGTTGCAGTCCAGGAATAGGAAATTGTAAATATGCAGGGATTGGGATGCTCTCAAAGAAATCCAAGGAGAAGAAAGCTTGCAGCTTGGAAGCAGTGCATTTGGATCATCCTCCTCTCCTAAAGGGCCTGGTCTAGGGGATGCTGGGAACTATAGTGTGGATATGCTATTGTGTGTTTTGTTTGCCAGGGGGAGTCGTTTTTGCAGCGTCTTTTTGCTTTTTTGGCTTTTTAAGTCTCTTCCACTGTATTTTTCAGTGTTTTATGAGTGATAGTCACTCGTCGGGCTGATAGGTGTCCAAATTTGGTGTCAATTCGTCCAGTGGTTTTTGGGTTATGTTAATCCCACAAACAAACATTACATTATATTGTCGAAGGCTTTCATGGCCAGAATCACTGGGTTGTTGTAGGTTTTTTCGGGCTATATGGTCAAGTTCTAGAGGCATTCTTTCCTGATGTTTCGCCTGCATCTATGGCAAGCATCCTCAGAGGTTGTGAGGTCTGTTGGAACTAGGAAAATGGGTTTATATATCTGTGGAATGACCAGGGTGGGACAAAGGACTCTTGTTTGCTGGAGTTAGGTGTTAATGTTTTTTTTAATATCTTTATTGAATTTTCAAAACATCAAAGTGTCAAAGTAAAGGGGAAAATAGGTGGAGGGTGGGACAAAGAACTCTGGTCTTTTGGAGCTAGGTGTGAATGTTTCAACTGACCACCTTGATTAGCATTTGATGGCCTGGCAGTGCCTGAACAAAATCTGGCTACCAGTATTAAAAAAAAACTCTAAAATTACAACAGCAAAACAACAGAGGAAAAACAATCAGGGACATCTAATCACCTCTCAACAAAAGATTGCCCCAGGCAACGTCAGGAGAGAATGCCTCTAGAACAGTGGTTCTCAACCTGGGGTCCCCAGATGTTTTTGGCCTACAACTCCCAGAAATCCTAGCCAGTTTACCACTGCTCTAGAACATGGTCATATAGCCCAAAAAAACCTACAAAAAACATTACATTTTTATTTATATAGATTTGTTGGATGTCCAGTTAATGCAAAAGTGAAGCAAAGCCACCAGAAGTGAAAGAATTGACAGAAAGCACGACTGAATATAAGAGAAGTGAGAGAACTGACAGAAGGCACAATTGAATATTTTGTAGAAATAGGTTGAGCTGTTAACCTTTCAGGCCGTCTTCACTTCCGCTTGACCATCCTTTTGTGCTTTCTTGCAGCTACCGGTTCATGGACATGTTCCCAGATGCTGCGCTTGTGAGAGACATTCAGAAGGAACTGGACGACATTATACAAATAGGAGTGCTTAACATTACTAGGCTGATTAGGGCTTCACAGACCACTTCTGGGACTGTTACTGTTCCAGATGATTTTCCTCTACAGAGGACGACCATTAGTGAAGGGATGTTAAATGCAGAAGACCTCCCACAAGCGCCCAGAGCGCCTCTCTCTAGCGGCATGAAGGCCCAAGGACAGCGAAGAGCAAGGGGATCTAAAGCAGTGAACTCTAGGCCCGGAGAAGTTCAGATGGGTCGAATCCAGGGCGCTCTGGCTGCTCGACTAATACAACAAGGACTCCTCACACCGGAGATGCTGAAACAGTTGGAGGATGAGTGGATGGCTCAACATAATGGGGATGCCAGTGGTTCTTCTGAAAACACAGGGCCAAGCACATTCAAAGGGAAAAAGAGAAAATAAAGTTATTCCTTTGCTAAATCAAAACTGTTTTAAGTAGTATTTTTATCATGTACATGTAGATTTTAAAAAAATAATTATCATTACAAGCAATGCTAATATATTGTCGAAGGCTTTTCACACATTCACACCTAGCTCCAGCAGAGAAGAGTTCTTTGTCCCACCCTGCTCATTCCATAGATATATAAACCCATTTTCCTCGTTCCAACAGACCTCACTACCTCTGAGGTTGCTTGCCATAGATGCAGGCGAAACATCAGGAGAAAATGCCTCTAGAAAATGGCGATATAGCCCAAAAAAACCTACAACAACCCAAAGCTAATATTGCTATATTTATTTATTGTGTCATCAGGAACCAGACATTTGTACTACATTTTAAACAAAAACAAACAAACAAACCAACAGACAAAACACAGAATTTGCAAGCTTGGTAGTTGATTAAATGTCCTTTGACCAGTATCTGGCCACTTGGAGTGCCTCTGGTGTTGCCACAAGAAGGTCCTCCATTGTGCCTGTAGCAGGCTCAGGTTGCATTGCAGCAGGTGGTCTGTGGTTTGCTCTTCTCCACACTCGCATGTCGTGGATTCCACTTTGTAGCCCCATTTCTTAAGGTTGGCTCTGCATCTCGTGGTGCCAGAGTGCAGTCTGTTCAGCGCCTTCCCAGTCGCCCAGTTTTCTGTGTGCCCAGGGGGGAGTCTCTCATTTGGTATCAGCCATTGATTGAGGTTCTGGGTTTGAGCCTGCCACTTTTGGACTCTCGCTTGCTGGGGTGTTCCAGTGAGTGTCTCTGTAGATCTTAGAAAACTATTTCTTGATTTAAGTCGTTGACGTGCTGGCTGATACCCAAACAAGGGATGGGCTGGAGATGTCACTGCCTTTGTCCTTTCACTATTGGCTGCTACTTCCCAGAGGATGTCAGGTGTTGCTATCGGCTAAACAGTGTAATTTCTCCAGTGGTGTAGGGCGCAGACACCCCGTGATAATGCGGCATGTCTCATTAAGAGCCACATCCACTGTTTGAGCGTGGTGAGATGTGTTCCACACTGGGCATGCATACTCAGCAGCAGAGTAGCATAGCGCAAGGGCAGATGTCTTCACTGTGTCTGGTTGTGATCCCCAGGTTGTGCCAGTCAGCTTTCGTATGATATTGTTTCTAGCACCCACTTTTTGATGTTCAGGCAGTGCTTCTTGTAGGTCAGCTAATATAGCTGATTTTGAAATATAATAATAATAGTAATTCTTTATTTGTACCCCACCACCATCTCCCCGAAAGGACTTAGGGCAGCTGACAAAGCACTCAAGGTGGTACACATAAAATAGAATTACATATCATCAAAACAATAATAATAATAATAATAATAATAATAATAATAATAATACTTTATTTATACCCCGCACCATCTCCCCAAGGGGACTTGGGGCGGCTTACATGAGGCCTAACAAAACATCAGTAAAAACAAAACAGCAAGCAAATAAAACAATGGACAACATCAATTGAGAAAATTAAATTTTTAATTTTTTTAAAAACACAGTCATAGTTATGGGTCATTGGGTTTCTTCAAACATGAACTTAAGTGCTGAATAACAATGGTCGATGTTATCACATGACCATAGTACATTATTCCAGATCAAAGGCCCATGTAAATTGCCATGTTTTTAGGCTCGAATGGAAGGTTTGGAGATTTGGGACTAATCTAATTTCTCTAGGGAGGGCATTCCAGAGTGGGGAGCCACCACCAAGAAGGTCCTTTCTCTTGTCCACACCAATCATACCTGCGACGGTGGTGGGACCAAGAGAAGAGCCTGCCCAGCAGATCTCGAAGCCCACGTCAGCTCATAGAAGTAGATGCAGTCTCAAAGATAGGTTGGACCCGAAGTGTAGAGGTAATCACCTGCACTTTGAATTGGGCCTGGAAGCTTGTCGAGAGCCAGTGGAGCTGCTTCAATAGGTGCATGGTATGCTCCCTATAGTTAGCCCCAGTTTGTAATCTGGCAGCCAACCTTTACTAATTGCAATTACCGAGCTGTCTTCAAAGGCATTCCCATGTAGAGTGCATTACAGTAGTCCAATCTGGACCATATAAAGAAGTATGTAATATCAATCCTGCCGCTGGACACCAGTATAATGAAGTATGAATTATAAATCCCGCCACTGGTACCAATTATAAAAGATCATATAATATACTATTATAAATCACCAATTATAACGAAATACTATATATCCCACAGCTGGACACCACTGTAAAGGATTATATCTCAGCCAGTGACGCGAGGCTGGAGGCTTATTGATAATATGTCTGGGCAGGATGGATCCTCCTCAGAGATTTTCCTTTCTTCAAAAATCCCAGCCCTGTGCCTCCAATATGGTAGCAAGATGATGTTAGATATGTGTATTAATAGAGTGAACACTGCTTGTCTTTAAGCTTTCTTGCGGATTAAAGCTGCCCCCAACCTAAGTAGTTTTAGGATTTCTAAAAAGTATTTGAGGTAAACTTTTCCCACTCCTGCCAACCCCGCTTTTCCCATGGCTCCCAAGATGCCTGTTTGATAAGAAGCTTTTCTGTAGTAGTAAGATATTAAAAATGCTGGAATTATCACAAAGGTTTGTTGATAGAAAGATGTACAATAGAGACCTTTTTGAAAGTTAAATAGAAAAAGATTTATTTATAAAAACAGACGACTAACTACTTCTGAGCTTGATGGTTGCTTGAATAAGTTTCTTCACTTAGTCACAGACAGAATTAACCAAGCAGATCTGACTGTTAGTAACAAAAACCCTCACTCTACTTCAGAGAAATAGTAATGAGTACTGACTAACCTATCCTAGGTAGTCCCTGGGTTATTAGCTAACGCTTCCCTAGAGTTCTTCCTGCTAACTACCCCAGCCTGGAGAGGCAATCTCTTGTGTTAACTCTCACAAGAAATCCGCTTGCTGTCTGATCTTTTCCTTGTCAGCTCACAGCACTGTCTGACCCAGACACTATCTCCCAGAAAACTCAGTTTCAAAAACACTTCTTCACACACCAGCTCTCAACTCTCACAGAAGCCGAAATCTTTCCCCTCCTCAGACGTGGCTCCTCCCAACTGCTCTAGCCAATCCTAGGAGACTCCAAACTCCTCCTCTCTTCTAACTATCCTCACTCAAGATGGCTGCTTCCCTGGCTTCCACTCCCAAAATGGAGGATTGCCATACTGTTATCCAGGCTTCCTTTCTGGCCTACTAGGTAAGATTCACTACAGACCACCATGGCCAAGTCAGGCCTCTCGAGGTATAGTTGCAGCTGGCACACAAATTTTAATTGCAAATGCCCTCCCGACCACCACTGACACCTGAGCTGTCAACGCTGAATCCATGAGGACCTCCTGACTGCAGACCTATGTCCTCAGGGGGAGTGTAATCCCGTTGAGCACAGATTGCTTCCCTATACTGTGATCGACCTTGCGACTGACCAGGAGGACCTCTGTCTTGTGTGGATTAAGCCTCATCTTGTTGTCCCTCATCCAGTCCATCAATTATTTGTTTGTAGACTACCTGTAGTACTCTATTCAAGAAACAAAGGCAGTGTGATGTGAATTCCAAATCCGAGGAAGAAGAACAGGAAGTCTTGCAAGGGATGAAAGTAAGCCAGTGCAGGTTACACAAATGCGATTGGGCATTGGGCAAAAACACTGAGCATAAATGCTATAGCAGCTACAATTCCATCAATAATATTCCTCTGTAAACTCAATTCGATTCAAAGAGATTATAAATATGCACTTATTGCTCTGGTACAGTTGTACCAGGAGCTCCAATTTTGTTTGCTTTGCATTGAATGTTTGTTTGCAGTCCTAAGTTTCAGAGACTGCAGATAGGTGGCTTCTTTTGGTTGCAGTTATAGTGCAAGCCACCTGTCCATCATCGTTGAGTTTGGTCCCGTCCCTTGCTCAGGGCAATTGGGAGGGAAGGGGGGCATTTTTCAGTTAGTCTCAGCTAGGAAGTCAATGTACAGGACATGTACAGACTTTCTCCTGTACAAAGGCTTCAACCCTTAAGACTTCCCGGGGAGAACAGTCTTAAGAGCATCTAAAGATTCCCAAAGGTTCCAGGGAAACAGCCTTACAGCCCTGAGGAATTTCGGAAGGAATAACAGCTTTAAACACCAAGAACTCCAGCTAAGTGACTACAGGCCTACTGGTACGTCCACTTGGTTTTGAGACACAGTTCAGCCCAGTAGTGGATCCACACCAATCAGGTTTAGGTTCACTGTTAGCCTGGGAGGAGCTAGAAAGGGATTTTCCTTTGAAGTAAAGCAAAGAAACAGTTAGAAGCCACCAGTTGTTTGACGACTGGAAGCATTTGTTTAACCTTAGAAGACAAAAGAAGTTTCTGTTTGATTGTTCATCAATAAAAGACTTCGTTGTATTTAAGCTGAAGCCTTCTAAAGACTGTTTAATGGGGGGAAATTCTCTAAGGGCTTCTCTTCGGGCCCCCTGGCTTCCCGTTGGACTAAAGTTGCATGTCCTGTTTTAAAGGCACTTTGTTTCAAGCCCAGCGGTGACAGAACACTTATTCTTTGAATGTCAGCTATCTCAAGACACAGTGATTCATGGGACAAAGTACAGGCATGCTTCCCTAACAATACGTGTAGTTTGTCAGTCAACTCATTCCTCAAAGTACATAGTTCAACATATTGATATATTATAAATTATAATATATTACTTCACAGGATATCTGATTACTACACTGGCCAATTCAACTACTGTATATAGTTGAATTAAAGCCAGAATTGTTGAATGAACTTGCACAGTAGGAAAGTTTATTGCCGCTTTTGGAAGGATAAGTGTAGTGGAGGAAAGGCCAAGGTTCTACTTAATGAAGATATTGATACTGGAATGTGTCCAGAGGAGCTGGAATGTGTCCAGAGGAGGGCGACTAAAATGATCAAGGGTCTGGAGAACAAGCCCTATGAGGAGCGGCTTAAGGAGCTGGGCATGTTTAGCCCGAAGAAGAGAAGGCTGAGAGGAGATATGATAGCCATGTATAAATA